TGAAGATGCTTTAACTCTTATTGAAAGTTTTTCTTTAGTTCAGTGCATTTATAATATAAACTCTTAGGATCACATTGACCTTAATAACAGAGAATCTGCATTCTGTGGTATCAGAGAAAGTCCAAATGAATTGGGTTTGTATCTTTTTAAAAATGGCACTTGCTAAAATACTGGAAAATGTAATGTCTTAACATAAAAAAAATAAAACTATACATGTGTTTCAACAGGGTTTCAAGTTGAGGTAGAAAATCTAAATTTCAAGCGGACTAAATTATGGACACTTGTACTATTCAGGGTTAAAGTTGACTTTATAAGCTGCAAATCATTTAAAATGTCTGGATCATCTATAGGTGTGTGTAGGTAAGAAGAAGAGGAAAAGATGATTTACATGTTGCCACAATATGTAAAAAGTGTAAGCAGTAATCATGGGTTTTGAAAATTCAAGGTTTAAATTATCAACCAAAAATATTTTCTTCAGATTTAAAGAGCAAGTCACCCCCAAATCAACTATTTTTTCTGATAAACTATATAAATGCATGTCTAATTGTGCTGCAGACATGTGTAGTCAATAGTTTTGCACTTCAGTGCATCTTAGTTAAAATGCAACACATGCTGTTGCCTGGCAGACCGAGAAGGCGGAGCTGCTAACAAATACACACACACACAGGCTCACGACAGCATTGTGACATCATAATGTACCAGTTTACATCATAGCATACCTCTTAGCCAATAGCGTTGGCAGATTTAAATTAAAATACAGTGCAGAGTTTTTACCTGACAACGGCACAACACTGCCAGTTTTAGGCAGAATATTTAAATTTTAACTAAGATGCACTGAAGTTCCAAATTATTGACGACACGTGACTGCAGCACGATTAGACACTCGTTTATTTAGTTTATCAGCAAAAAAAAAGTTTATTTGGGGGTGACTTGCTCTTTAAGGATAAAATGTTACATTTGATCCTGCAAATATAAAGTCTGTAGCATCACTTTCCCACAAAGCGGAGGCGGCATCAGGGAACCTTTGGTCATTCGTAAGTGGTCAGCCAGAGGCGACATTGTGGTGAAATCACGTTGTTTTCACAACAGATAAAGCAATGGCGGTATGAAGGGAGTGCGGGGGTAGTCTACGTGCTGTCACAGACATCCCTTTAGCTTAGACCCAACTTTTTTTTATCCCGTTCCTTAGGGTTTTTTTTTTTTTTTGCAAGCCCCTCCAAAAGGTGGCTGTCCCTCTGGAGATCTGTGCTTCAGCTCTAACAGCCAGAAGCTCCCGGACTTCTGCTTTGCTCCAGTTTGCCATCTCAGTTGTCTCTGCTTACAAATGTGAAAATGACTGACCATGCTTAGTTGATTTTAAATATTGTTGCCGGCCAGGGCTCGGTTCACATTTGACACAGATAATGACATCTTTCCCTCTTGCAAAAATGCATGATCTTCATTCAGAAGTCCGTTGTCTAGGCTACGGGCATCTCTGAGTGTGAATCTGTACAGTAAGATGTTTTCGAGAGCTTTCTCTCTGAGTAGATGTGACATTTTTATTATATATCTACATATCAGAGCATGTCTCAGAATTATGGGGGGAATTACACACACACACACACACACACACACACACACACACACACACACACACACACACACACACACACACACACACACACACCTTTTCTGAATGTAATAAGGTCACATTGACAAACCGTCTTACTCTTTTCACAGAGTGATGAACATTAAACAGAGCATTAAGACTTGATCCCAAGCATGTTGCTGAAGTTAACGTCATGCTGGCTAATGATCCATTACACACTCCGTATGTCAGAGACAGAGCGAACAGAAAAAGGGGACATTATCACAACCCCACCCCCACCCCACTGTCACCATTGGAATAGGGACACTAGGGAATGTTGGGAATTTGAAAGCTATGAGCGGTTGATCAAACAGAAACGATTCAGAGTGTGAGCAAGAGCTAGTGCAGGTGCAGATTTTAAAACTTAAAACATTGAGGTAGAGTACTGGTTACAATCAGAGGAATATGATTTTTTTTTTTGTTATTTTTAATCCATTTAACATCCGTGAGAAGTAGTACCCTGCAATAGCTTAGCCGTTACACCGGCTGTAAAATGCTGTTTTGGAAGTATCCCAGAAGCGTAGGAAGGCAATGCTTATCCTTCAAGTCTATTTTTTACACACTGTGTTTCCAGAACGCACCAAAATCTGCAGTTCAGATTGGGCCAGACAAGAAGTAAAACACAAAAGCAGTGTAAAACATCTGGAAAGTTTCAAAATAAAAGTTGCATACAAATTTCCAGTTGCTTAATCAGTACAAACAATATGTCATTTCCTGTGAAACCCCCGTAGCTGAAGTAAACACAACAGAAAATACATCACAGACCTTTTTGGAACACGCTGTCATCTTTCTCCTTGCTCGTTATCATGTGTACTACCAAAATCACGCATGGTCTTGCAATTCTCTCGTGATTTTTGTGACTAGCTGCATGGAATGCTTTCGCTACCATTACGCGTCCGGAACACCCCAGATTGGAAGCAAGCTCGCGAATGCAACATTTTTATTACGTTACGCGCTGCTTACACGACCATCTCCATAGTTCATGTAATGAGGATGTGTATCACTCACCATTCCAGACAATTTTTCTGATCCAGAATCCCTCTGTCTCTCATGTTCAGTACAAAAGAGCCTGTTTAAAGGACAGGTGAAAAACAATAGTGCTTGCTGTTGTAGATGACTTTGACAATGATGTAATTATTGTTAATCATTAGTAACATGATAGGTAATACATGTAATTACTTGTGTTTGACATGAGATGTAGATCTTGCTCCAGATTCTGCAGCATATGTTCAGTTATGTCAGACTCTATGTCAGGGTCCTCACAACCCGTCTGGTCCACACTACAGATCTCCCTGATCTCCAGGGCAGCTCGGGAACTTGGACGAGGTGCTGGACTCGTTTTTGAGCCCAGTTTGGGTTGAGAGAAGCAGGCAGGGAGGGGAGGATGAGGGGATGCAGACGGAGGTCTTGGATTTCTTCTGGGAGAGTCGGAGGGATGTGGTTTGGACTTCCCTGAGAGTTTAGACCCCAACACTGCATTCAAAATTAAACCGTATCAGAAGAAGAGAAACTTCAATCCTGCTTCCAAACCCCTCAAGACTAATGAGAAACAAACAAATGAATAAACCAACATCACATTTAAACATGTTCTGGACTATTCAATTTAAATTTAAAATGGAAATAGTTCACAAACAATTATTTCTAATTGCTAAATTATTCAATGTTATATTTATACTTCAGAAACATGCATTGCCGCAGACAAAAATTTGTCAGAAACGATCAAATCAATTAGTAACACTGAATAAATAAACACATGTCTCTATGTTAGTCCACCCCAACTCATGTTTGTAATACTGAAAGGCCTGGGTGAATACTCAGCTCTGATTGGCTGGTGGGTATCTATTATTTTCTAATAAAGTAGAGCTATAAAGTTGTTCCAAGGAAACTGCTTGTTCACCACTCTCAATTAATGCACCAGATCAGTCTTAATCACTGGCATCAGGTGGCTGCAGGCACCTCAATTAGAAATAAATTGGGAAAAAACCTGATTATCCCATTTACAACACTAATTTTAGTGATGCAGTGCCTCAGTGAACACCACACTGGTAGATGACTGTAACACGGTCGCTGTGAGAGCAACACTGCTTCTCCAAATCCTTAGATGACAGCATTGTTATACATGTCTTCATCTTTCAGGTTGATTTTCTGGGTTACTGTTGATCAACATACTGGGAAATGAGATAGAATAATGAAAAATGATTATTTCTTCACTACATTTATGTTTTCTATGTTTTGGTTTAAATTTTTTCATATAGATGAGTGAAACTGTATTTTTGCATTTTAGCAGAACAGAAAGACCCAGTGTTGTCAGGTTATATTTGGCATTTCTTCTTCAGAGGGAAAGTTTTAGTTATAGTAGCATTAGAATCCTACAGAGAAAAACTATGGTTATGTACATCTATTGAGATCTCAGATGTAATTGGTAAAAATGTACAAACCATAGACCTAACCTTTTTACACAATGTGACTACTGAACAAGTGTCGTTCAACAGGGAAAACAATAAATACACAATGATAGTTAAACTCATGACTTCAATTTAGAGGCCAAGAGGACTGGTAAAACATGCAAGTGCTTAAATAACAAGCCTGTTTTAAGTGTGTCAGCTTCAAAAACAATAAATAAAAGTCAAAGAATGCTCAAATGTCTGAACAACTGAAATCTTACAATAAATAATGATGAAAAATATAAACTTTCGTAGAACTTGGTTTTTCAACTAAAAGCCATGTTCTTGTCAGACTTTCGCTGTCTGTAATAACTGCATTCAAAAACACTTCACATAATTTGAAAATCTCATTTTCCTACTTTTTCTTTTTTAGATCCAAACCTTGACAGGAGGACGTGAAGTTCAGTGATTTGGGATTATTATTATGAACCCCAACAGAAGGTGTGAGTGTATGACAGAGATAAGCAGAGGTGTAGAGGAAAAAAGTTAAAGGTAGAGAGAATGCTGGTCTGGATTCAAAGAAAAAATGGTGAGGGATCCAAAAGTGATCACAACAGTTCGTGGAATGCGTGAAGCCTCACCCCGGTCCACAGCGAGCCACATCAAATTGAATCAGATTGAACATCCCTGCTCACTGTAAATTACATCGAGGCTCCTACTGAGAAACTATGATGGTGTGTGTGTGTGTGTCTGTGTGTGTGTGTGTGTGTGTGTGTGTGTGTGTGTGTGTGTGTGTGTGTGTGTGCGTGCGTGTGCATGTGTGTGCGTGTGTGTGTGTGTGTGTGTGTGTGTGTGTGTGTGTGTGTGTGTGTGTGTGTGTGTGTGTAGCACACCGATTCCTCATGCTGCTTGCTATATAACCAGTTTCAGCTCATGTGTTAAGTCTTTCGGTCTTTCAATCTTCTATTGTCTCCTCAGCCCTCCCCCTCTCCTCCCTCTCTGTCACTGGCTCTGTCTTTAAGCTTCCTCAAAAACCTCCACTTAGTGCACCTGCTCCGTCAAACTACGTGGTGTGGGAGGAAAGATGTATGCAGCGCTGCAAAAACATCTGGATGGTTACTTCTGAACAAAACTCTGACATTTATTCACACCTTCCTTCTACCGATAAGTCTTAAAGTGAGAGCGAGAGAGCCCTTGCGCTTTATACGTCGAGCCTGTGAAACAGATTAAATCTGAATATGACTTGAAGTAATATTCTGGTGTAATCAGCCTTCCTGTCACAAATTATAAGGCTGGTAAAGCTCGTGCACCAGGTGGGATTGGGAGACGGTGGTATGATAAAAACTAGCCAAATGCTGTAAAGATTTAAGATTTTGTTGCTCAACAATAGGCTCAGGAGTTTCATTAATGGCACAATGGATCCAAACCACAGGTGTGGTATTGTGAAGCCTTTATAGTGTGCTGTCAGGCAGCAAACCAGGGCAGCTCACTGATGAGACAGAACAACCAAACATCTGTACTTGACTTCATTTGTGGAAAAAAATATCTACTGAAAAACTGCACTGAGCTCTTATGTTCATTTGACCTTGTTGACCATGGACACAACAATATCTGATCTCCTGACCTTTTAAACAAGTGTTCTGTATTATATTTTAAATTGTAAAAAGTTGTAAAAAGTCTATTATTTTAATTGTCCCTAATAAAAGTCAAGAGTAGAAACATTAAATTTCCAAGTCAGTCAAATGCAATTGTGTCCTTTCATTTAGTCTTGTTTAAAAGCCATTGGTTGGTATTTATTTTAAATGAAATATTGACAGTCTGCTTCTTCAAGATTTTAGAAAAAAACTTTTGGACCAATTCCACAAATGTTTTCATGTTTTCTCGGTATTCGTTTTTGCAACACGCGAGTACCTTTTGTTTCTGATAAGCTTGTATAATTTCTTGGAAACAAATTCTTGGTACCAAGAAAATAGTTGCTGAGAAATCGGACCTATTATTTGTGTGTATGCATTTTAGTTCACTGTGCAGGAGTCTTCTGAATCTGCTTAAAGACACACAATTGTCAATACTAACACGTCTGCAATCGTTAACCAGATGTTCCCAGTTCATTTGCTGGCATTTCCTCTCCTAGATGAGTGAATTTGAATTCCCACTGGTAGTGTGTCCTTCATTTCCTTGGAAGCCAGATGTTTGTTAGTGCAACTTCGAAGGCTGTGGCTCAAACAACTGTCTGATGCTAAAAAAAAGTTAATGTTAAGTGTGGCAGAGACTAAAACTCACCAAGACTTTCTTTAGATGTCATGAATTGTAGTAAAAACCTAATATATTTATAAAAAGAAACATAATCAAAAAAATAATTGCTATCCATTTTCCTACACTTGGTCACGGGGGAAGTGGTCTAATCAGAGAGCCCCAGATTTCCAATTCCCCAGCCAGCAGAAATCCTAGCGCACCCCCAGGCAAGCTGAGAAACATAGACCCTCTGACATGTCCTGGGTCTTCCTTTAGGTGTCCTCATAGTTTGATGCACCCAGAAAACCTCACCCGGGAGGCGCCCAGGAGGCATCCTAACTAGATGCCCAACCCACATCAACTGACTCCTATCCATGTGGAGGAGCAGCAGGTCTTCTCTGAGCCCTTCCTGAATGAACAAGTTCCTCACCCAATCTATAGATGCCCTGCAGTGTAAATGTATTTTGGTAGCTTGTATCCGCGATTTCGTTCTTTCAGTCACCACCCAAAACTTGTGGCCATCAGTGAGCACTGCAGGTGCTCTCCAATGTCCAAAATGTGCGTATGCCAGGTCCTTAGTCAACTTAAAGTTGCACACATTTTTCCACAACTTTTTTTTTATCCCAAAGTTTGTGTGGAAAGTTCCTTACGCAGTTTTCCGACCTCTTGTTGTGCATAAGCAAGCTTTATAAATGAGACCTCTGATCCTTAGGCCACCAAACCGGATCCCCTCACCACCTTGGCTGTGCCTAGAAATCCTGTCCATAATAGATACGAATATAATTGTTGCCAAAGGGCAGCCTTGGCAGAGTCCAACTCTCAACGGGACTAAGCCAGACTTATTGCAGGCAATGCAGACAAAGGTCTGGCACTGATCAGACAGGGACCTAACAGCCTATATCAAAGGGCCAGGTACCACATACATCCAGAATACCCTCACAGGGATTCCTGAAGGACATGGTCGAACTACAAAACATTTGTAAATTTGTTGGGCGAACTCCCACACACCCTCCAGGACCTCCCTAAGGGTATAAAGCAGGTCCAGTGTTCCACGGCCAGGATGAAAACCACATTGCTCCTCCTGAATTTAAGGTTCAACCATGCCATGGACCCTAAGCCATGGACCCTCCTCTCCAGGAAGATCTCATCCACCCTGTTACAGATGCTCCCCTTTCCGGCCACCAGATGGTCTCAATGGCACCGTCCTCACCTGGCTCCTTTCTCTAGTTGCCCAGCTGTGTGTGATTGTAATCACGCCACAGCTGGTAAAAGGATGTCACCTGGGCTGAGAAGGGGAGAAGGCAACAGGGAAGTGTGGAGATGGAGGTGTTTTCACTTCTCTCTTCTCCTCACGTGCTTGACCGATCGTTAGCTTTGTTTAGTAAACTTGTTCTGTGAGATACATTTAGATTCGGATTAGTCAGAGAGTCTTTGTTTAACAGGACTGCTCCATTTGTTTTGGGGTTTTTGTGGATTATTTCCGTTAGTGTGCCCAACCCTTTCTGGGCTGGCGTTTTCTATTAATCCTTGTGTAAATAGCTCCTTTGTTTATTCTTATGTAAATATCCCCTTTTATTGTAAATACACTTAGTCCACTTGAGTTTTGTAATAAAATCCTTGTTTATAGTGACACACGACTTTGTTATTGCTTAAGCCGCACACGTTTTCATTACTCCCTCCACCTCTTCACTCTGAAGCCTCCGGAAATGGTCCTGTTTTTCAATCTACGGGTCACCTCTTCAGTATCGGGTCATTTGGAGACATAGGTCTTAACTGGTGCTTTAATCTGCAAGAAGATACTGTTGCCTCGCCAAGGTCTTTCCAAGCTCACTCTTATCTAAGACTGGTTTGATTCACAGCACAAGACGGATGAACTTTCAATATTAAATCATATAATGAACAAGACGAGTAAATAATCATATGGTTGAATGAACAATAATGACTGAAGGATAATAACAATGTTTTGATTAATCTGTGTTAAATTACTGTGGATGAATATTATGATGTTATGAACAGTAATTTTAGATTTAACAAGTGAATCACTATCTCTGACAGCTCACACACTCAGACACGTAACGATGCCAAGGTTAAGCTAATATGCTGACACATTGCTTTCTGTTCCACCAATCAGAACTCCTGTATCTGACGCAAGGTGTGTTTTCTGAGGTTTGTTGGTAAAAATCCTTCTACATGTCAAATTCTGATTTGTTAGAAAATCAAAATATGATTATCACAAAAACAGAGCTCAAGTCACCGTGAGTCAGTTCCAGTTCTAGTTCTAGTTCTTGTGAGTTCTTGAGAAAGTTCTGGACCGGCCAACCGGGGCAAAACCTCTTTAACCCAGAGCATCTTTTGACAAGCTGTCAAAAGCCTGTTTGTTGCAAGCTACAGCTGACCGCAAATGGTTCCTTCAGAACAAAGCTGAACCAACTTCAACTCCTTAAGAGTTATTCCTAAGACGCAAATAACAACTGTCGTGACCTGAAGACAACTCGAGACCGGGAAAGTCGGCACTGCGGTTTCTTCTATGGACTTCGGTACCTCTGGGGTCCCCGGACCTCAACATTCCGGATCTACCATGGGGGTCTTCGATCAGGGTATGTAGACTCGACAGATTGCGTCTCATGTGTTTTTGATAAGAACCAACTTTGTTAGTTTAAGGCAGACCAAATTCACTCCCATTCAGAACTCAGTTTCTTTGTCTAAAGCCTCTTCTGCTGCGTCGTGATTTGCTACTGCTTTTGCATAGCTTCTGTGTCGGGTTTCTAGTCCCATTATCACCAAAACCTCTCGTCTTGTATATTGTTCAAGTTCATCAACTCTTTGCTCTAAGTCCGAAATCTTCTTATCTTTTTCAGTTAACAGTATTTTAAGCTATTTCACCTCCGCCATCAGTCTCAATAACTGATCCTGCTGTGATGTTACTTTTGACAGTTCACCTGACATAAAGTTCAGAGATCGTTTGATCTCCTCCAGGTCTTCTGTGGCCATTTCTGTACCTCGTCCACCAGCTCTTCCTCCTGGCATCTCTTCCACTCATCTGCAACCGTTGTCCTCTGGTCCTGTGCTCACCGCGACGCAATGACTGTTGTTGGGCCTGGCTCTGCAGGACCCCTCCATAGTCGATGTTGCCAGAACCCGTCGCCGGAACTATGCCGGGTTCGGCGCTGCTGGGCCGGGCCGATGGAACCGCGCCAGCCTCGGTACCGCTGGGCCGGGATGATAGAACCACGTCAGGCTCGGTGCCGCTGGGCTGGGCCGGCGTAACCACGCTGGGTTCGGCGCTGCCGGGCCAGGCGGATGGAACCACGCCGGGCTCGGTGCCGCTGGGTCAGGCCAATAGAACCACTTCAGGCTCGGTACCACTAGGCTGGGCCGGCGTAACCATGCCGGGTTCGGCGCTGCCAGGCCAGGCAAATTGAACCACGCCGGGTTAATTGAATCACTCCTAGGTGCTCAGATAGATCCACTCTTGGTCGTTTCTCCAGATACGAAGGTTCTGATAACCAGGGATGATCGGAAATTGGCCCTGATCACGTGGTTTCAGACTGATCGGGACTCGGGCTTTACTTCCCGATCCAAGCCCCGATCCGGAGTTGGATACTGGGTTCAAATTACAGGAGAGCAACTTTGTTCTCCTTAAAGGTTGTCAGGCTCCCCTGATGCCCTCAACTTACACACTCAGAAGGAGCACAAAAGAGATCCAGTTTCTACCTATATTATATTATTTACATGGACTCAGAGTAGCGGGGATTCTTTTGGGCAGAGATGCAGAGCGGTAGGCAGACCACTGATCATGAACTCCAGCTGCGTTCTGCACACGGCCACAATTACCTTTTCTGAGTTTCTAAGTGGCGCCACCAAAAAATATACAGTTAACACACGGTCATTCGTGTCCGTTCATTTTCTCTACATCCATACTGATAACCTCACATTCAGGTTTGAGGGTTGGTGCCACAACATGCATCAACCACCCTGGGACCACAGTTCCGAGTTGGCTGCCTGACAATGGAGTCATGGAACATGGGCCACTAAGGCTCAATGTCTCCTGCCTCCCCCAGGATGCACTCAAAGTTCTGTCAGATGTGGGAACTGAAGCTCCTTCTAACAGGAGCCTCTACCAGACGTTCCTAGCAGATCCTAACAACACGTTTGGGCTTGCCAGGTCTAACCGGCCTCCTCCCCTACCATCAAAGCCAACTCACCAACAGGTAGTGGTCAGTTGGCGGCTCTACTCCTCTTTTTACCCATTTGTCCGATACATGCACCCACAGATCAGATGAGACAACAACACAGTCCATCAAACTGCAACCTGGTGCCAAGAGCACATATGGACACCCTAAATAATTTCTTGAAATAAGTATTTGTATTACTAATTGTTTTATTTTTATGTTCACCTTTAAATTAGATTTTTGTCTTGGTCAGCATGATGAATACAGCTGTTTCAAACATTTCTTAGGGGTTTCTTGAATTTGTTCAATAACTCTTCTCTGCATGAACGTTTTAAAATATGTCCACAGCAGTTGGATTCAAGCTAATCAAACACACTTTGCAAGATTAAACCTGTTATTATTTATTTAGCTTTATTTCATATACCTTAACAAAAGCTAATCTTGAAACCAATACGCAAGTATTTTTTTTTTTCTTTGACATATTTCATAGAAGTTGATTTTGTGCGGTGTCCCTCTTACTGCTGGGGCTGTCACAGAAACACTTTTTTGCTGATAACCCCTGTGCCAAGTTTAAGGCACTGGTCCATCTGTTTTTGAGATTTAGACTGTCAAAGTGGTGTGCTGCCTGCAGCATGATACCAAAGAGAAAGCCAGTAGCTCTGGTACATCTATCTCTTACTTCAATTGCACCCAGGAAAATTTCAGTTGCTAAGTTAGTGAGTCTACATCTTGTGTCATGCTGTTGCCACTTTTCTTCAAAATTTAGAAAATGTGAAATTCATGCTGTTAGAAAATTATAAAAAGTCTATGTGTGTATTATAGTAAACAGTATTTTCTTCAGGGGAGTTTTTCCAATAATTGGTACAAAAATAAAAAAGGTAAACAGATTAGTGTGGGTTTTTCTATGATAAAGCATAGAGGTATAATCCTTTCTGTGTGACTCGGCCTTTCCACTTGATGCCTAGTGGTGATTAACGTAATAGATGCATTTTACATGCGGGCTCCCTTCCCACTTGGAGCATTTATGAAACAAAATGGTAGTGATACTATTCGATGACACCGGTCCTGCGAGGTCACAAAATAAATAGAAAATTGCAAGACCACATGTGATTTTTGAAGTTCAGGCAATAATAAGCAAGAAGAAAAGATGGCAGCATGCATCTAAATAGGTCTGTGGTTTAATTAGGCCCGAGCAGCGAAAGCGCTGCGAAGGCCTATTGTATCTGCTCTGTTTATATTTCTTCTGCCAAGTAAATTGGCTTTTTGGAGGCCTTACCATACCCGAAAACTCAGGAATTTTTGCACACATGTCAGGCGTGGTGTAAAATTTTGTATTTTAAAGGTCCCAAAAAAATCGCTATTAAACTAGCTCCACAGTGCCCGCTACAATGTGAAAAACCCCCCTCTATAATACTTTGTTTTTCGTACAGTTATGAAATTTTGTACTCTTGTAGTACTTAACAGTCCGCACAGAAAAGCCTCTTGCAACCATGGTCAACATCAAACAGGAAGTTGGCCATTTTGATTTGAAGTGGTGATTTTGACCCCGTTTTGACCGTTTCTAGGGTCCGCTTCTGATTGATTTACTCGATCATTTTTCGCACGATCATCTCGAAAGTTAAGGCAAATTGCTCAGAAGGGATGGGCGGTCAAATACAAAAAATAAAACTGACTTTTCATATATGCTGAGGGGGCGTGGCCAGGCCTCGAAGTTCGACTACTTGCCAGAAAAATATAAAAGGCTATAACTTCATACTCGAATAGAGTAGAGTTACAAACATTTCTGTGGTCATTCGACATCTAGCCACAAACTAAACTGAATGGTGGGATGATGACAACACTAAAGCCCCGCCCCCTCAGGACCAAAAAGGTCAAGTTTTACTGTAATAGGTCCCAAATCGCCCCATTTCATTTAATCACCACAAATTTGTAGCTGGTAAGTCAAGACAATTGGGGGTTGCTTGGCGTCACTTTATGGGAGTTTTCAAGAGAGGGCGGGGCTGTGGCGCTGCGGCAAAGTCAGGCGTACCGTTGTGGTCATACATTTGCCTCCCATTTCGTCATTTCTAAAGATATTGTCACAAAACTTCTGGTGAGTGATCCTAGTCTGGCCCCCCCCCCAAAAATCTGATGTGAAAATCCGGTGAGTGTGGCCTATTTTCTTAAATAGCGCCCCCTTGGACCATTAAAACAGTCAGCCCCAAGCCATGCTTTGACTGAGGATTACGAAATTTGGTACATTAACGTAGTGTTTCAGGACCTACAAAAAAGTCTCTTGGAGCCAAGCGCTAAGCCGCACAGGAGGTCGGCCATTTTGGTCCAAGTACTCGATTTTGTGTTTTTCGCACACATTGTTTGGAGAATGATGCCCCCTCGCCCTTTTCACCGATCACCTTCAAACTTCTGCTATGTACTCTTAAGACATGGGGGGGGAAATCAAGCTGTTGGATCTTTCAAAAGTTGAAAGATGTGGGCGTGGCTAAGCCTCAAACTTTGACCTGTCTCCATGCCACTTTTTTTTTCACAGCTCCCTATAGGACTCCTTTCACCCAATCACCAGCAATTTCTGGCAAATAGCACTAGACAAGTTGAGGTCACTTGGTCTCCAGTACTGGCAGATTTTAAAAAAAAGGTGGGGCTTTGGGAGCATGGCAACATTCGCCATCACGCCATGGAAATACGTTTTTCTCTCATTTCCTCAGTTATCACGATATTGCCACGAAATTTCTGGTGAGTGATCCTAGTATGACCCCAAATGGAAATAAATGTATAGGTTGGTGGGCGTGGCCTATTTTCTGAAATAGCGCCCCCTAGGACCATTAAAACTCTCAGCCCCAAGCCATGCTTTGACTGAGGATTGCAAAAATTGGTACACTAATGTAGTGTCTCAGGACCTACAAAAAAGTCTCTTGGAGCTAAGCTTAATGTTGCACAGGAAGTCGGCCATTTTGGTCCAAGTACTCGATTTAGTGGTTTTCGCACACGTCGTTTGGAGAGTGATGCCCTGTCACCATTTTCAATGATCGCCTTTAAACTTCTGCTATATACTCTTAAGACAGGGGGGGAAAAATTCAACCATCGGATTTTTCAAAAGTTGAAAGGTGTTGGCGTGGCTAAGCCTCAAACATTGACCTTTTGCTACAAAATGCATTGACGTAATAACTCCAATGCACATAATCAGATCTATATCAAACTTTGTTTATGTGATCACTGACCACATGTCAAGACAATGACAATGTGGATAGCTAAGCCCCGCCCCCTGACAACAGGAAGTCAATTGTTTTATGGTGAAATGCCCATATTTGTCCCCTCTAATTTAGTCAACATGACACTAAGGTCTGTCTTCATGATGCTGTAATGACCATTCAGTTTTGATTGCTTTCCAGAAAGGGAGGGGCTTTGATGCCACTGCGAATTCTGGCGTGACGCCATGACCTTACGTTTGACTGTAACTTCCACAAACAGCCTCCGATCTGCACGAGAGTGAACATGACAATCAACAATCATGCCCTTTAGCCAATAAGGCACAAACGGTTGGTGAACTTTGTATAATATCACCACAGTGCCCCCTACATGCCTTTACAACTGTAATAACTCCTACAGACGAGGTCGCAACTGCACCAAACTTGCTATGTGTCATCACACAAAGGCACCCAACACAATCCTGTGGTCATTGGTTGATATCACTTTAGCTCCACCCCTTGAGAGACATTAGGCCCTGAATAACACATGCCTGATGCACTTCACACCAAACTACACGCAAATGATTGTTATGAACCTACAAACTGCTCCATGGGATATTTTCCTAAATTTGGGACAGCGCCCCCTATATACAATAAAACCTTTGTAACTTTTACAAAAAAGCTCCAAACTATATCAAACATGGTGGGAGTCATCACGCAACTGCAATCAACACATGTATGTTCTCACTTGTTCAAATCACTTTAACTCTGCCCACTTTAAGCCTTTTGCCTCTAGATGACCCATGCAACGTTTGATTGATGCCAAATTAACAGAAAACCATCTTTGATGACCAAAGATGACCTTTATGGGATTTAGTTGTAAATGGTCACAGCGCCCCTTGATAGGTTCAAACTTCATTAACTTCTAAAGTCAAGGTCAGAATGGCATTATACTTTGCTTGTGTCATCACATAACTGCACCAAACACATTGATGTGGTTGTTGGTTCAAATCCATATAGCTCCACCCCCTTTTGGCTCTCTGGCTCTAGATAACACGCACAATATCTGATTTATGCCAAAATAACAGAAATCCACCTTTGTCAACCAAAGCTGACCTCAATGGGATTTTTCTGTAGTTGGTCCCAGCGCCCCCTAGATAACTTTAACCTTCAATAACTTCAAAAAACGTGGTCAGAATAGCATTAAACTTGGTCTGTGTCATCACACCACCATTGTGGTAAAGATAAAGTATCCCCTAGTGGTCAGATTTGTAATTTAATGGTGGGCTCAGAGGAGATGCTGAGTCAGGGTGAGGTGCAAACAAGGACACCGTTCGCGGTTTCTGGCGTCGGGGTGGTCGACATTTATGTTCCGCGAACGTGACCGGGTGCACCGGGCTGCCGGCCAGGCTGGAGCGGCGTGGAGCTGCGATGGCCGAACGACGCTGCTTGCAGCTTTAATTTCTGTTCTTTTTACTTTGGTTACAGTAGTGTAATTATGTTCCTTTTTTTTTTCAATTGAAAATCTGAACTTTTTTTTCAAAGTTTCCAAATGCTTTCCTGTTTGACTCCCTGTCTGGCTCAATCCCAACTGCTCAGCTTGACACGTTCTGGAAGTGTAGTGCATAAAAACTAGACTCAAAGCAACCCATCACCATGCAACTCTTCATGGCCAGTGGAAACACATACCTACTATAATGGTGGCTCATTGCTGCATACTATGTTTTGTGGACTTACCGCTCACACATCCAGTGGAAACACCTGGTAAGACTTCCAAAAGTTAAGAAAGAAAAATCTGGAAGGAAAAACTGTAACATTTACATTTGCATTTCATTGCCCTTCTCTTTTGCTGCTTTTAAGATACTTAAAACATTTTAAAGAGATGTGCACGATACAAACTGAGTTGGAAGCTGTAATGAACTGATTCCATTATCCATCCGTAATAGCTTTTTTTTCATTCATAAGTAAAAAAAGAAAAATTTATAGCCTGACCTGCCAGACTCATCCTCTGTTTAATTCTACACAGATAACTTGTCTGGTTATTCACAGGCAGAGATGAACATGAGGGGCAGGACTAGCCAGCTCTAAAATAACCAATCAGAAAAAAGGTGGAAATGCCGACTGTACCAGGCAACGTTGTTGTTCTTTAGCTGTAGTGAAAAATGGCATCTGGCGACGGCGCAAATGTCTTTTTTCAGAAAAAGGCTTTTAGCACTTCTTCATATTGTGGTTTTAAAGACGTTTCCAAGTCATTTAGAAGAGAGGAAAGAGCTGCAGCAAACTCCGCTTCAGACGCCATCGTCATTGAGCGTTGCGATGTGTGAAGTACGCTGCTCAGAACTGATTGGCTTGGTTAGAATTCTCAGTGGGTGGAGTTATTTGAATGGGAGCGTTAAATGGCTAGTCAGGCTAAAACATTTATGGTGATGACTTCATTCATGCTACACAATAAAAAAAACTTCTATAGGAAAAACATTTAACAGTGGCCTTTTTTGGGGTCAAAAATGGTAAATGGATAAATAATAAACCATGCTTTAGATTAATAACTGTAATCCCAGAGTTACAGGAAATGAGCAAAGGTCAGAGAATCTAATCCTGTTCAAGGGTCACATTGTTGCAATTCACTTAAGGTTCCCATTTCAAACTGAATATTTTAATTCCAAGAACCATATAAATTAATTCAACAGAATTTAGTAACTACATTTAAATAATAATCTATTCACCCATTTAGTAGAAGCATACCAAACCAGTATTTCTCAACAAGTCTGTTCAGCCAATCCTGACAGCTGGAAAGCAATTATTGCCTTTTTTCTTCATTCTCTCCAGCGGTCAGCCAATTAATTATTGCTATTGACTGGATGGAGGATCTTCTAACTAGACTAAATCAGCTGAAAATAGAATAAGGAAAAGAGAGGAAAAAAGTTGGCCTTACTCAGCCAGTGTGTCATTTGTTCATTTAGTTTTTTTCTGTGCTATTATCAGTCTGTCAATTTCTTCTCTTAATGTGCTGCTCGAAAGCTTATCCTAATGTTAGTGTTTCCATGTAGCTTCACATAACTGTAGTCACATCTACCTGTGAAAGCTTTCTTAGATCACTGTCTAGATTTGACTCCTGTTGGGCAACAACCAACTACATAACAACGTTCTTTTATTCTGACCAATAAGACCGCAAGCCAAAAACTCTAAATAAAACAGATGTTGAAAAGGTCGAAGAGGAGACACCAGACATGTTGAATCTCAGCTTTGCTGAAAAAAAATAAATGAAAGGGAGACAGATGGAGGGAGCACAAATGAAAGTGATGTGTTGTCAAGGTGATATTGCTCTCCTGTTGCCTTTCTCTTTCATTATCTTTGGAGCTTTAACAATGGTGGCAGAGACAATATGGGGCTTGACGAGAGGCTGACTGCATGCTGTGAAGGGTGTAGTGATCCCTTTATTGTGAGCCTCTCAATGTCAAACTCATTCGTTCATTACCAGCATGACAACAGAACTATAAAGCTGGTATAGGAAATGGTTAAATGGTCATTTGGTAGAAAAAACAATTGCCCTAGGACTAAATAATGCTTTTTAAAAAGTGTTGTTTGAGTTAACAGGACCATTAAAACTAGGGATGTTCAGATCACGTTTTTTACCCCCATCTGATTTCGAGTCATTTGATTTTGAGCATCTGCCGATACCGAGTCCCGATCTGATACTTTTCAGAAAAGCATTAAAATAAGAAAAAAAGGCAAATAAATTTTAGGAAGTACACTGATTAGAAAATGTGTTTATATTGTGAATATGCGGTACTTTAAAGTAGCGCTGTTGTTCTTATTTCAAGTTGTTTACTCCCTTTATATGCAGCTGTACTGAACAATGCGTGTTCCCATGATGGAGCAGGCAGGGTAACTTTTCTCTGCATAACACCTGTAGCTCCAGCGCAGCTCCAGTGGTGCAGGAGAACTAGAAACCCAGATGTTTTACAGTCTGTTGGCTATTTCTCTTTGTTTATCAGCGTAACATTCTCTGGAGGCTGGCAGCTGGCTTCATGTTTTTGTCTGACTTCACTGTGAACTATGACTGTTAAAGGGATTAATGGGAACCAGTGATTTGCTTTTTTGATGCCTGACGGGAAAAGCCGACGACAAAGGTAGTCTGTTTGATGGCAGCGAATCATGGAGCTGTGTCTTTACCAGCATGTTGAATGCTCAGTATGCACGCATTACACGTGTCTGTAGCTCTGCCTCCACTGTCCGGTTTAAAATACCACCAAGCAGCAGAAATTTTAGCTCTCCTGAGGAGATATGCGCAGAACGGCAGTGGAACATCACTGGTTCAAATAGAATCCATTATAGTCTACGGACTGTTTCAGGCGTGCCCCAGATGCAGCACGCTGCATCGCTAAAGATAGGATCGGGTTCTATTTTTGCCACGAGCTGCTTCTGTGACACGTCAATTTCCGCAGTAATTCCCCAGTAATTTTGAAAATAAAAGTACTGCAGCAATGCAATTTCATATATACGAAGCTTATGTGATGATTACAGTGTGAAACCAAGGTTATCCATTTTTATTCAATTTTAAAATCTCTATCTCTGTCATGTTCTGTGTCCCTTTGTTCCCCAGCCCTCCAGTTCCCACTCCAGGTTCTCCTTTTGTGTTTCATGGCGCCCTCATGTGTCCTTTGTCTGCGTCTTTCCCCATGTGTCTCCTAATGTTTCTCCATCCCTCTCTGGATTCCCTTTTGTGTTCTCTTAGCGCCCTCATGTGTCCTTTGTCTGCATCTCTGTTGTGTGTCTTAAGTTATAGCCACAGCCTCTTGTTCCCCAGTTCATAGTTTGTGTGTCTCAGTATGTGTATGTGTTTGTGTGAGTTCTTCCCTTAGTCTTTAGGTTTAGTTTTGTGTTTTACATAGTGTTAGGTTTATCTGCCCTCCACTGGTTCTCTTCCCCATCCAGATAATTGTTGTCACCTGCCTTCCCTCCAGCCTCACTCCACACACCTGCTTCCTGTTTCCCTAATTGCTCCTCCCTGTCTATATAAGCCCTCCTTGTCTCTGTGTTCTTGTCGGTCCATTAATGTTTGCTTGTTGTTGCTTGTCAGCGTTATTAGTCCTGTCAGTCTGCTCGTTCCTCTGGTGTTTTTGACTCCCTGGATTCTTGGATTTTGGCTCCCTCCGTTTGGATTTATTTTTGTTCTTCCTCAAAATAAAGGATTTTCACTTACAATTCAACTCCTGCCTCTTGTCATCCTGGGTTCTGCATCTTGGGTCCTAACCTCCTGCTCCCTAAACGTGACAGAATGGACCGACCACCAACACAGGACCCAGCGGGAACTCCAGGTACACAGGAGATCTATTACGATGGTGATCCAGACCTTTGTGTGGAGTTCATTCGGAACTGTGCCCGTTGTTTGGACTTGAAATCCTCAGAGTTCGACAAGGTGTCGTATATGGTGCTTTGGTTGAGGGGTAAGGCCTTGCAGTGGGTTGCTGACCACTTTGACGTAGAGCAGGGGTGGGCAATTATTTTTTCCATGGGGCCACATGAGAAATAGAAAATATTGTGGAGGGCCGCAGGCCAAAAGGCTGAAGTCAATTATGCATAATATTAATCGTATTTCTTTATAAAAAGCAGTAAATACCATTGTTTCTTCAAGCTGGTAAGAGTAGACTATATGTTATAAATGAGCAAAAAGGAAAAAGTGAGGTTGGCTTACAAAAATGTGATTTATTCAAATTTCCCAAGGCAATGGTAAACAAAGTGTGCACATTTGGTTTTTGTTAAACATTTGTGACTTATATTAGTTAACAGTTTCAGTCACATTCACTCCAAAACACATTCTGAGTTTCAAATATTGTTGGAAAGAGGTTCTTAGCATTCTACAGACACACAGTATCGTCTGTAAAATAAAATCACTGAACTGTGATCTTGAGAAAGAGGTTTAAAAAAAGTGTCCCAGTTCACTGCTAGTTGCCTACATTTGTGGTCCAAACACCTTATTTTGTGTTTTTAAGCAATTTTTTTCTTATTCAGTGAGAGAAATCTAGTCTCTGCTGGGCTTTAACGAGTGCATCAAAGTCAGGTTGGATGTCTGAGGTGGAGAAGCGAAGCACAGCTGACAAATGATCATCAGTGAGAGAGGATCTTTACCTGGATTTTGTAAACTTCATCATTGAAAAATGTTTGTTCACAAATAGGTAGAGCTGAAGAGAACCAACATCTTCTGAGCATGTCTCTTCAGGTTTGGAAAATCCTCCTAAGAGAAGAGTAGAAATCCAGCAGAGATCCTGAATCTCTGCTTTCGAGTCCCAAACCCTCTTCAGCACTTTCCCCAGGCTGAGCCATCTGACAGCTGTGTGGAGTCCTCCACAAGAGCCACAAACTGTCTGTGATTCATCGCCCGCGCCCTGATGAAGTTTATTATTTTAGTAACAACATCAGTAACATGGTTGATTTTTAGCACTGACTTGCACAACACATGTTGGTGTATAATACAATGCAAAAACACCTATTTTTGATCTGCATCGATTTCTGTCACTTTATCTTGCATGCGTTTCAAAAGTCCGACATTTTTCCCTGTAAAGCCGGACGTACACTGTGCGACTTTTTCACTTGCAGCACTCAGCTTCAGCTCAAACTGTACGACTTCCCCGCAGAGCAGATCTCACGAGTCATGTGCTCACACTGTACGACCCAGTTCTCGCATGCGACCTGACTGCTCACACTGTACGTCTGGTAGCAACACGTCGGCCCTAAAAATGTGCTAAAAATAGCAGTTTTTACTCAACACGTTAGACTTTTTTGTCTTGTTTTGCCTGTTGTCCTTCAGGAGTGCTGCTGGAGGACACACAGGGATTTATGGGGGTTGGATGAGGAAAACGAAATAAAGAAAGTAAATCTGTGTTTTGTGATCAGTTTAATTTGACATGAACACGACAAACACACTTTCTTGACAATCTTTGTGAGTAAAAAAAACGTGTAGAAACAAAAACGAACAGCGTGTGTTATTAGGGAAATAGCGAGCGACAAGTGTTGATGCAGGATTGCGCGCGCATGCGCCGTGAGTGGTTCTGATACTTTTTGGGTCGCAGCTGCTCGCAGCGCCGCTTCAACAGTGCGATACCCTCACGAGGGACGAGCGAAATATTAAACACACCAGAGTGCGACCTCACGACTGCTGATCGGCGGCTGGTCACGTGGTGTTAATCGCCTCTCGTAACCCCCTGTACACTACACGACCGCTCGGCGCAAAACTCGCCCCGATGTCGTGGCTTCTCGCACGACTGGAAAATCGGCTCAAAAAAGTGAAAAAGTCGCACAGTGTACGCCCGGCTGTGACATTCTCTCCCATTTCAATCCCAGAGTGTCCATGCACGCATTTACCTCTGTAAAAAGATCACTCCCTGTCGTTGTCCCTCTCATCGACCGCATTGCTGCCCGCTCCTCTGTGAGCTTGAAGTCCGTTATCCCCCGGACAAATACGAGCAGCTGGGCTGTGTCCCGGACATCACAGCTCCCGTCTAATGAGAAAAAGTCAAAACTTGCCACTTAACGTTGCAGCTGAAGCTCCAGGTTCCCCGCAATGTCCTCGATCCTCCTGGTCACGGTTCGCTGTTTTTAGCTATTTTGTGGGATATCACAAAGCTGGTCCTGGTTGCTGCATCCCTGGATGTGTGAAGCTTAGTAAAAAAGCCTTGCTGCTTTTGCAACTTTGCTAGCAAAGCTTCGGATGTCCGTGCCCTCTCAGCATCAGACAAGTTCTTGTATTTTTCCGAGTGTTTCTTGTCGTAATGCCGACTCAAATTGTAGTCCTTAAACACGGCAATCTCCTCCCCGCAAACCAAACACACGGTTTTACCTCCGACTTCAGTAAAAAAAATACTTAGCAGTCCAATTTTTGTTGAAAATCCTGCATTCGGCATCTTTCTTTTTTTTTTTTTTTTTTTTTGCATGAGCGGACATTTCTCAGGCTACAATCACCTGGTCAACCGCGGGCACTTGTTGCTATACGTATTGCGTCATTGTGCACGTAAAATACAACTTCAAAATAAAAGCAATGCAGCCTTAGCCCATGCATGAGGTAAAATGAGAAAATGAGAAAATACCGTCACCTTATCGTGGTGGAGGAGTTTGAGTGCCCTAATGATCCTAGGAGCTATGTTGCCTGGGGCACTTAGTGCCCCTGGTAGGGTCTCCCATGACAAATTGGTCTTAGGTGAAGGGTGAGACAAAGAACGGTTCGAAGGATCTTTCATGGCGGTGAAAACGAAGAGTCGGAGTACCCGGCCCGGAGGGTTACCGGGGTCCCACCCTGGAGCCAGGCCTGGGGTTGGGGCCCGTGAGCGAGCGCCTGGTGGCCGGGCTTTCGCCCATGGGGCCCGGCCGGGCCCAGCCCGAACCGGATACATGGGCTCGTCCAACTGTGGACCCACCACCCGCAGGAGGAACATGAAGGGTCCGGTGCAATGTGAATCGGGTGGCAGACCAAGGCGGGAGCCTTGGCGGTCCAATCCCCGGACAAGGAAACTAGTTTTTGGGACATGGAACGTCACCTCGCTGGCGGGGAAGGAGCCGGAGCTTGTGGCAGAGGTTGAGCGGTACCGGCTAGATATAGTCGGACTCACCTCGACACATTGCATTGGCTCTGGAACCCGAGACCTGGAGAGGGGTTGGACACTCTACTTTGCTGGAGTTGCTCCGGGTGAGAGGCGGAGGGCTGGGGTTGGCTTTTTGTTAGCCCCGAGACTCTCTGCCTGTGGGTTGGGGTTTACCCCGGGGGACAAGAGGGTAGCTTCCTTGCGCCTTCGGGTCGGGGAACGGGTCCTGACTGTTGTTTGTGCGTATGGGCCAAATATCAGTTCAGAGTACCCACCCTTTTTGGAGTCCCTGGGACGAGTGCTAGATAGTGCTCCATCAGGGGACTCCATTGTCCTGCTGGGGGACTTCAATGCTCACGTGGGCAATGACAGCTTGACCTGGAGGGGTGTGATTGGGAGGAACGGCCCACCTGATCAGAACTCGAGCGGTGTTTTGTTATTGGACTTCTGTGCAAGCCGCAGTTTGGCCATAACGAACACCATGTTCGAACATAAGGATGCCCACCGGTACACTTGGTACCAGGGCAGCCTAGGTCACAGGTCGATGATAGATTTTGTAGTCGTATCATCTGACCTGCGACCGTATGTTTTGGACACCCGAGTGAAGAGAGGGGCGGAGCTGTCAACTGATCACCACCTGGTGGTGAGTTGGATCAGATGGCAAGGGAACATGCCGCGTAGACCTGGCAGACCCAAACGCATAGTGAGGGTCTGCTGGGAACGCCTGGCAGAAGAACCTGTCAAGACGGTCTTCAACTCCCACCTCCGGCAGAGCTTTGACCACGTCCCGAGAGCAGTGGGGGACATTGAGTCCGAGTGGGCCTTGTTCCACTCTGCGATTGTCGAGGCGGCTGTTGCTAGCTGTGGTCGTAAGGTGGCCGGTGCCAGTCGTGGTGGCAACCCCCGTACCCGCTGGTGGACACCAGAGGTTCGGGGAGCCGTCAGGCTGAAGAAGGAGGCCTACAGGGCGTGGCTGGTCTGTGGGTCTCCGGAGGCAGCAGACAGGTACCGGATAGCCAAGCGGGGTGCAGCAGTGGCAGTTGCCGAGGCAAAATCTCGGGAGTGTGAGGAGTTTGGTGAGGCCATGGAGAAAGACTATCGATCGGCTCCAAAGAGGTTCTGGCAAACTGTCCGGCGCCTCAGGAGAGGAAGGCAGCAACTCGCTCACACTGTTTACAGTGGGGATGGGGAGCTGCTGACGTCAACTGAGGCTATAGTCGGACGGTGGAAGGAATACTTTGAGGAGCTCCTCAATCCCACCAATGCGCATTCCGAGGAGGAACCAGAGCTGGGAGGCCTGGGGATGGACTGTCCGATCTCGGGGGCAGAAGTTGCTGAGGTAGTCAAACAACTACACAGCGGCGGAGCCCCGGGGGCGGATGAGGTTCGTCCTGGGTATCTCAAGGCTATGGATGTTGTAGGGCTGTCATGGTTGACACGTCTCTACAACATTGCGTGGTCATCGGGGGCAGTTCCTAGGGAGTGGCAGACCGGGGTGGTGGTCCCCATCTTTAAGAAGGGTGACCTGAGGGTGTGTTCCAACTATAGGGGGATCACACTCCTCAGCCTCCCTGGAAAGGTCTACTCCAAGGTACTGGAGAGGAGGGTCCGATCGATAGTTGAATCTCAGATAGAGGAGGAGCAATGTGGTTTTCGTCCTGGCCGTGGAACTGTGGACCAGCTCTATACCCTTGCAAGGGTGATGGAGGGGGCATGGGAGTTTGCCCAACCAATCCACATGTGCTTTGTGGATTTGGAGAAGGCTTATGACCGTGTCCCCAGGGGCACCCTGTGGGGGACGCTCCAGGAGTATGGGGTGGGTGGCTTTCTGTTAAGGGCCATTCAGTCCCTTTACCAGAGGAGCGTGAGTTTGGTCCGCATAGCCGGTAGTAAGTCGGACCTGTTCCCAGTGAGGGTTGGACTCCGCCAGGGCTGCCCTTTGTCACCGGTTCTGTTCATCACATTTATGGACAGAATTTCTAGACGCAGCCGTGGTGTGGAGTGTGTCGAGTTTGGTGGCAGGAGAATCTCGTCTCTGCTTTTTGCGGATGATGTGGTCCTCCTAGCTTCATCCAGCTCTGACCTTCAGCTCTTGCTGGGTAGGTTCGCGGCCGAATGTGAAGCGGCTGGGATGAGGATCAGCACCTCCAAATCTGAGACCATGGTTCTCGACCGGAAAAGGGTGGCTTGCCACCTCCGGGTCGGGGGAGAGGTCCTACCTCAAGTGGAGGAGTTTAAGTATCTCGGGGTCTTGTTCACGAGTGAGGGTAGGAGGGATCGGGAGATCGACAGGCGGATTGGTTCGGCGTCTGCAGTGATGCGGACGCTGAGCCGATCTGTCGTGGGGAAGAGGGAGCTGAGCCAGAAAGCCAGGCTCTCGATTTACCGGTCGATCTACGTCCCAATCCTCACCTATGGTCATGAGCTTTGGGTAATGACCGAAAGAACGAGATCGCGGATACAAGCGGCCGAAATGAGTTTCCTCCGTAGGGTGGCCGGGCTCAGCCTTAGAGATAGGGTGAGGAGCTCGGACATTCGGGAGGGACTCGGAGTAGAACCGCTACTCCTCCGGATCGAAAGGAGCCAGTTGAGGTGGTTTGGGCATCTGGTCAGGATGCCTCCTGGACGCCTCCCTGGGGAGGTGTTTCGGGCATGTCCTGCCGGCAGAAGGCCCCCGGGTCGACCCAGGACACGTTGGAGAAGTTACATCTCCAATCTGGTCCGGGAACGCCTTGGGGTCCTGCCGGAGGAGCTGGTGGACAAGGCCGGGGAGAGGACGGCCTGGAGCTCCCTAGTTGGGATGCTGCCCCCGCGACCCGGACCCGGATAAGCGGAGGAAGACGAGACGAGACATTTATTTTGTAATTTCCAATTAACCTTACGCGGGCCGGTCAAAGTCAACCAAAGGGCCGGATGTGGCCCGCGGGCCGTAAAATGCCCAGGTCTGACGTAGAGGATCTTAGGGCGGTGTCGTTTTGGGACTTTGCTGTATTGCTCCTCCGCACTTTTGGCCGTGATCATCCTCCACTAGTCGCTCATGCCACCTCAGCATCTCAGATGGGTTACACCACCACACCCTCACCAGGTCCTGACAGCGCCACCACTTACTCTCCGGTGGGCTGTCATTCCTCCTCAGTTCCTGCCAGTGTCCTCTCCATACCTCAGCTGAGCCAAAAAAAACCACGCCGACGCCGCCGCAACCGTCCTGCTCCAGCGGTGGTCCCGGTGGACGCATCGCCTCCTGCTCCAGCGGTGGTCCCGGTGGACGCATCGCCTCCTGCTCCAGCGGTGGTCCCGGTGGACGCATCGCCTCCTGCTCCAGCGGTGGTCCCGGTGGACGCATCGCACCTCGCCTCAGCGGTGGTCCAAGGGGACGCATCGCACCTCGCCTCAGCGGTGGTCCAAGGGGACGCATCGCACCTCGCTCCGGCGGTGGTCCCGGTGGACGCATCGCCTCCTGCTCCGGCGGTGGTCCCGGTGGACGCATCGCCTCCTGCTCCGGCGGTGGTCCCGGTGGACGCATCGCCTCCTGCTCCGGTGGTGGTCCCGGTGGACGCATCGCGTCCTGCTCCGGCGGTGGTCCCGAGGGTCGCATCGCCTCCTGCTCCAGCGGTGGTCCCGAGGGTCGCATCGCATCCTGCTCCGGCGGTGGTCCCGAGGGTCGCATCGCGTCCTGCTCCAGCGGTGGTCCCGAGGGTCGCATCGCGTCCTGCTCCAGCGGTGGTCCCGAGGGTCGCATCGCGTCCTGCTCCAGCGGTGGTCCCGAGGGTCGCATCGCGTCCTGCTTTGACTGAGGTCCAAGAGGTCCCGGTCCCGGCCCAGCCTGTCCAAGAGGCTCCGGTCCAGCCCATCCATCTGGACCCGAAGTCGATGGTGGTCAACGGCCCTTCCTGTTCCGAAGTCGACGCCCCTTCCTGTTCCGAAGTCGACGCCCCTTCCTGTTCCGAAGTCGACGCCCCTTCCTGTTCCGAAGTCGACGCCCCTTCCTGTTCCGAAGTCGACGCCCCTGATGACGACATGTCCAAAGTCGTCGCCTCTGATGACGACATGTCCAAAGTCGTCGCCTCTGATGACGACATGTCCAAAGTCATCGCCTCTGATGACGACATGTCCAAAGTCATCGCCTCTGATGACGACATGTCCAAAGTCATCGCCTCTGATGACGTCCCCTCTGACGACGTCGCCGCCGCCTCTGATGACGACATGTCCAAAGTCGTCGCCTCTGATGACGATATGTCCAAAGTCATCGCCTCTGATGACGTCCCCTCTGACGACGTCGCCGCCGCCTCTGATGACGTCCCCTCTGGCGACGTCGCCGCCGCCCCTGAGGACGTCGCCTCCCCTGATGACGTCGCCTCCCCTGATGACGTCGCCTCCCCTGATGACGTCGCCTCCCCTGATGACGTCGCCTCCCCTGATGACGGCTCTCCTGATGTCGGCTCTCCTGATGTCGGCTCGTCTGACGACGTCTCCTCTGGTCTGATTTCTCTTCTGTCTCTAGTTCCAGTGGTGATTCTGAAGGTCGCACCGGTCCAGCCTGTCCACGAGCCCCCCGTCCAGCCTGTCCACGAGCCCCCCGTCCAGCCTGTCCACGAGCCCCCCGTCCAGCCTGTCCACGAGCCCCCCGTCCAGCCTGTCCACGAGCCCCCCGTCCAGCCCGTCCACTAGCCCCCGGTCCAGACGTCAACGCCTCCCGTCTCGGGCCCCTGCTCTGAAGTGGACGTCTCGGGGCCCTGCTCTGAAGTGGACGTCTCGGGCCCCTGCTCTGAAGTGGACGTCTCGGGCCCCTGCTCTGAAGTGGACGTCTCGAGCCCCTGCTCTGAAGTGGACGTCTCGAGCCCCTGCTCTGAAGTGGACGTCTCGAGCCCCTGCTCTGAAGTGGGCGTCTCCATGTCCCCGTCTCAAGTCTCCCACTCTCCCCAAGTCTCAAGTGTCCCACTCTCCCCAAGTCTCAAGTGTCCCACTCTCCCCAAGTCTCAAGTGTCCCACTCTCCCCAAGTCTCAAGTGTCCCACTCTCCCCAAGTCTCAAGTGTCCCACTCTCCCCAGTCTCAAGTGTCCCACTCTCCCCTGTCACAAGTCTTCCAGTCTCCCAACTCTCAGGTCTCCTAGTTCCAGTCTCCCAGATGCAAGTGTTCCAGTCACAATCCCTGTCTCCAGAGATCCTTCGCCGGCCCCCTAGACTTCTCAGGTCCCGCCTCCTGGTTCCCCGTCGCCGGCCCCCACGACTCCTCTGGTCCCGTCTCCTGGTTCCCCGTCGCCGGCCCCCACGACTCCTCTGGTCCCGTCTCCTGGTTCCCCGTCGCCGGCCCCCTAGACTTCTCCGGTCCCATCTCCTGGTTCCCCGTTGCCGGCCCCCAGAGTCCCCTGGTCCCTGGACCCTCCTCGCCCACCCTTGTGGGTTGTTTTTTGTCCGGGCCCTCCTCTCCCGCCCTGTGGTCTCTCGTGTCCTGTTTTGTCTTTGTCTTTTGTTTCTGTTTTTGTCTTGTTCTGGTTTTGTGCGTCTGGTATCCGCCCTTGAGGGGGGGGGGGGGGGGGGGGGGGGGTACTGTCATGTTCTGTGTCCCTTTGTTCCCCAGCCCTCCAGTTCCCACTCCAGGTTCTCCTTTTGTGTTTCATGGCGCCCTCATGTGTCCTTTGTCTGCGTCTTTCCCCATGTGTCTCCTAATGTTTCTCCATCCCTCTCTGGATTCCCTTTTGTGTTCTCTTAGCGCCCTCATGTGTCCTTTGTCTGCATCTCTGTTGTGTGTCTTAAGTTATAGCCACAGCCTCTTGTTCCCCAGTTCATAGTTTGTGTGTCTCAGTATGTGTATGTGTTTGTGTGAGTTCTTCCCTTAGTCTTTAGGTTTAGTTTTGTGTTTTACATAGTGTTAGGTTTATCTGCCCTCCACTGGTTCTCTTCCCCATCCAGATAATTGTTGTCACCTGCCTTCCCTCCAGCCTCACTCCACACACCTGCTTCCTGTTTCCCTAATTGCTCCTCCCTGTCTATATAAGCCCTCCTTGTCTCTGTGTTCTTGTCGGTCCATTAATGTTTGCTTGTTGTTGCTTGTCAGCGTTATTAGTCCTGTCAGTCTGCTCGTTCCTCTGGTGTTTTTGACTCCCTGGATTCTTGAATTTTGGCTCCCTCCGTTTGGATTTATTTTTGTTCTTCCTCAAAATAAAGGATTTTCACTTACAATTCAACTCCTGCCTCTTGTCATCCTGGGTTCTGCATCTTTGGTCCTAACCTCCTGCTCCCTAAACGTGACAATCTCAGGATGAATTTAAAAAGTCATGCTTATTGTTTTAAAAGATTATATCCAATTTATTTCTCCTGATTGTGATCCTTTCAAAAACACATGATCGGATCAGAGCTTCCTTAATTGAAACAAACAAATAAATAAATAAAAAATAACAGATTCCCAGCATTACAATGTGTGTCACTAATGCCTGTCCCAGCAGAATTTAACTGTGGAATATAATAATAAAGAATGAGGTGAACCGCTAAAGAAGATTTAATGCACTCAGAGTCAACTTAAAAAATGACACAGCTTTGACAGAGAATGCTGCTGTTGTGTCCTTGGGTAAGACACTTAACCTGCTTTGCCTGCTGGTGGTGGTTGGAGGGACTGGTGGCGCCAGTGTTTGGCAGGCCTTGCCTCTGTCAGCACGTCCCAGGGCAGCTGTGGCTACATAGTAGCTCATCCCCACCAGTATGTGAATGTGTGTGGGAATGGGTGAATGACTGATTGTGTTGTGAATCGCCTTGGGGGATTGTAGAACCCTAACAAGATGCTATACTAATACAGGCCATTTACAATGTTTTTCTTCAAAAAAGATAAAAATCTTAGCACACCTCTGCTGTCGCTTGGCTTCCTGGGGCTGGAGGCTTGGAGGGGGATCTGGCTGTCTGGTTGGGGTCTGAGGTGGTGGGTTACTTTGCTCAGCGTTGGGTGGGGGAGCCTGCTCATCAGCACTCCAGCAGAAAGGGTCGAACTCTGGGAACCGGTGATGGTTGTACCCTTTGTGCAGCAGTACCGAGACCAGAGTAAATAGGGTGTGTATGGGGAGCATGAGTGGGTGTCCGGCGTGCATTTTTGTAAGTCTTTGGTTGTATGTGTATGTGTGAGCATGAGGGAGGGAGTGTGTGACTGTGTTTGTGTATGACTGTGTATGTCAGGTGGGGCCTTTGACTCCTCCCCTCTCCTGGGACTTTTTTTGCTGCTATACATCTTCACCTCCCTTCCTCCTGCCACACCTGGTGTGGAGTGTGGCGCCTTGGTCTGCCTGAGTGTTCGTGGGGGTTTAAGATTTTTGGCGTCTGCCTGAATAATCCCGGTGGCTGCCTGGTGGGGTTTGGGTCCCTGGGCTCTGCTGGGGCCCCGGCGGGGCTGGTCGCCCCTGGGTCCCGGGTGGCTGGATTCCGTGCTCGGCCGGCTGGGGATGGGAGGCTGCCGGCGGGCCTGTGGGCTTGCCGCTGATATCTCCCGGGGCTCTGTCGGCTGCTGGTTGAGGGGGGCAGGGGCTTTTCTGGTTGCACTCTCCCTGGGGTTCCTGTGCTCTGGGGCAGCTCCTGGATCTCTGGGACTTGGAGCTCCCTCCATCTCCTGCACATCTTGGTGGTGGTTGGGGGGGGGGGGGGGGGCAGATCTGTGGCCCCTCACACCCTCTATTGGACGCTCCTATAGAGAAACCTTAAATAAACAAGCGCGTGTACACACACAGGTGCTCACATGGTGCTCTCATAAGTATGGACTTCGGCACGTTCAACACATGTCTTAAGGCTGTGGTTGGCACGTAATGCACTGTGATTTATTATCGTGTGATTGTTCAGTTAAACAATGTTGATTTAATATTTCCTCATCAGGTTGACGCAGTGATAGCTTGATCGTGTTGTATTGTTGTTGTGTCCCATTCTTTTAATTTTGATTTTTATTTATTTTCTCTCTTTCTGCAGGTCTAGAAGCAGACTCTTGTTCATTACTGTTTATTTTTGTGGAACTTCACTCGATGGAATACAGACGTTAGCGTTTGGGGGCTTTAGGAGTGTTAGTGGCTGGGGAATGAGACCTGTGTCTCTCTCTGTGTGGGATTCTTTCACAGAAATCAGGGAACTAAACATAGGCGTAAGAAGCACACAGGCTCAGAAGCATGCACTGACAAACACACACACACATATAATAAAGAGCACATCTGAGGAAAACTCCCTTTGGACCAACGAGAAGTAAATTGTCTGCGTTGTCCCGTATCTCTGTAGTTTCACCAAGCAGCCAAGACTCCTTTGGGTTTTAAACTCATTTTCATGTCTTTTGTAAGCTCTACATTGTTACATATTGGTTCAAAATCCTATTATGAGGCCTTTGTGATATGAATAATGCTGGTAAATTGGAAAGTATTTTCCAGCAAAGTTGGACACAGAAGTAATCTTTAAAATCTTATATCTCCTGAAGCACAAAAACAGGTGTAGCCATTTCTGATGCAGCTTTTAGAAAAGCACGATTTAGACTTAGGAAACATAGTTACACTGACAAATAAATAAATAAATAAATAAATAAACCATAAAAATGAAATTAGCCACCCACCCCACCACCAGCCTTAAACCAACCTGTTGGATCTGAGCCATGCACTGAAAGTTGGCATGCGTGAAATCGATCGCAGTGTGCATAGGCTGGTGAGTCGCAGTGTCCAGCATCCATGTCCAAACCTGAAGGTGAAAATTCGTCCACATCACAGAACCACTCTGATCCGGACCCAGCAATCTGGTGTTGCATCACCTAAGGGGATATGGAAACAGATGGAGGGACAAAGGAGCCTGTTGGATTGAAGGAAAATGATGGAATAATAAATGAGTAAGAGAGGAAAACGTAGCTAAAGTGAGGCTAAAGGATGCTATGCACAGAAAGGTATCAAAAATAAATACAAATTGAGTACATCACTGTAAGAGGACTAGGAGGAGGAAATAAAAATACATCAACATTGGGATTTTTTGACACAACTGTATATAAGTTCTTGAGTGTGTAAATGCATATTAATAAGACAACATTCTATACGAGATATTATTCCCATCTCTCTCAGTTGCCTTTGTTTCCAGTGGATGAATTGATTTTTAATTAACCCCTGGAGCTGGCAAGAGCATCTCCCAATTGTTTTGTGGTTAGCTGTTCCTCCTAGGCAAGTGTCCTGTGAGACGGGAGTAAAGCGAGGCAGCTCTGTTTAGTTACGATTAAATCTGATGCATTAGCATGCTAGCCCTGCAAGACCCTGCAGATGGGCAGGGGAGAATACGGGGGGGAAGGCATGTGGGAATAATGCTGCTAAGAGCAAGGAAAGAGCACGGATGGGGAAAGACAAGAGGAAGCCGGTAAAATATAAATACAGAAATGACAGGAGACCAAACATGGGGAAGCTGTGCAAGAGTAAGGGGAAAATGATTTCTTTGTGTTCACCAGGATCCTCGCAGAATGTGAAGGATGCAAATCCCTGGCTACCTTAAAAAAGGGAAAGTCAGAAAGAAAGCAAAGAGGACATGAGAAAAGACAGAGGGGGCGGAAATTGAAGAAACTTTGAAGAGACGAGATCCAGAAGCAACAGATAACCACCATCTTTACAATCTGTAACATAATTGTTTAAGTTTTTTAATAAAGGACTGGGTCTTCCTTTCTTTTTCATTTCTGTCACAATATAAGGGATTCATGTCATTAAATGGCAGATAATGATTCCTTTTTAATCCAATATGTTTCTGTTTGCTTCCCTCCGAGCCTCCCACCTTTAACACCACAGCTTTCTGCATCTCTGAGCTACAGTATAGACGAAGGATGTAAAGTAATTAGTGTGATACCAATGATATCCAATGGATCAGGTCAGCAACAATAAAAGTCATAACTAACTGAGTCGCTCAGGTCATCTCTTTCTATATGGTAATTATGTCCAGAGTAATGAAGTTCAGAAACTTGTTAATGTATTCCTTCTATTCTTCACTGTGGGCATTTCTGAAGTAAACTACAGAATGAGACACTGTTGATTATTCAAGTTGTCATCTAGTTTTTTCAACACATTTGCAGTGGTCTCTAGCATAAAGGCATGCCTTGTGAGTTGATCTCTGTGGGAAAAAAAGTTCTGTTGTTCCTGTTTCAGGAAACAGAAGTGAGCCAGAGGAGAGACGAGCAGAAAACAGATATTCAAACATCTCGCTTTGGATTGGCTAACAGCAACGTTACTCTACCACTGAGTCAGTTTGCTCTGAAACTTTGATGTTTTTATCTTCACAAATAACACAAGCCTGAAGGAGTTCTGCTGTGTTGTGGAGTGGCTAATGCTAACAGTTAGCTTCTTCTAGATGAGAAGCGCTCTACTCTGCATGGGCTGCCTCGCAGCAAGAAGGTTGCAGGTTCGAAACTCGGCTGTGGCCTTTCGGCTTGGAGCTGCATGTTCTCCCCATGCATGCGTGGGTTTCCTCCGGGAACTCCGGTTTCCCCTACAGATAACAACATGCCCTACAAGTTAAAAAATTGTACATCGCTTTGGATATAAGTGTCTGCCAAATAAATAAACATAAACATAAACATACTCTGCATGCTAAACCAGCAACAGCCTTTCCAGTTGTGACTCAATATGGGTGAGTCCATGAATGCTAATTTCAAATGTGACGTAGATCTGACAGGCTTTTTTAATCCAAGCATTTCCCTGTCTTTCTATTGGGGGCTAATGCAGGAGATAGGGGAAGGAGGCTATTTTTACGTTTAGCCAACATATGAAACTCAGAGTCACCGACCATGAAATAACAAGTAAAGTAACAGTTTATCTGTGAATTGCATTATATATGAACGATTCAAAGAAAAAAATATTATGTAACATTTTACCGTTAGTGTGGGGAAAAAAATTTCAGTATCTTGTAATAAAGAAAAACGTTCCCGTTTTCCATCTTTGGTGTGCTTGTGCTGTGTTGAAATTCTAATTCCATCTTTTAGTTCTTTTTAAAACACAAAGGTTTCATTTACTTGCAACGTTTCGTTTGCGGCTGCAAACTTCGTCAGGTTGACAGGTTTTCCGAGATACTGACCCTTTATTTTTCTCCTCGCATTGACAATAATACGCTTCTGTACAAAATGTCTTAAAAGTACATAAATTTTTGCCAAATGTGTTACTAAAAGTCATTTTTTCTCTTCACAAGGAGAGGGCGACACTTTATAGAGCTTCAGACCCTTTCAGAAAATTAAAAGTACACTAGAATCTGGAAATGTTTTACCATGAGTGGTTTCGACTCCTGTTCTCGTGCATCAGCCAGCTGATCTGCCTCTGTAGAAACAAAGAAATCTTTTAGATGAGACACCGCAGGAATATCTTTCTTTCCTCCGGATTTCTTTTCTTGTTAAATGTCCTTGTATTTGAGCTTCCTTGCCTGAAGAGTCTCCTTCATGTGGAGCCAAAACCAAGCTATCACTGGACATTTCATCTCCACCGTCTGTGTGAAGTAAGCAAACACACACACACACACACACACACACACACACACACACACACACACACACACACATTTAAAGAATGAAAGCTTCCTTTGAGTTATGACTCACGATACAAATAAAAAAAAACTTTTTTTTTCAAAATGTTCAACCATAGTACGGCACGATAACTGTGCATTGGGTTCTTTTAAACAATGCTGGACTTTCAAGGTGAAGAGTAAAAGAAAAGAAAAAACATTCAGTCTGTCCTTGCTTATCACGCTTTGAACCTCTGAAGCCAATGTTTCTTCTGTAATATCCAAGGAAGACGGTATTATGTGATGCGAGTGTCCTTGACACTGTGAGGCTCTAATTGGCAGATAAAGTTGGCATTCAGTGTCTCACCGGTCAAACAGCTGTAAGAAGTGGTGTACGTGAAGAATGAATGAAAGCAGAGATGATGGATAAACATAAGAGTAGAAGCAGAAAAAAAAGCTGGAAAGTTGGGAAAGTTTAGAAAAATAAACCTTTATTCTGTTTCAACTGTCAATGCACTTTATAGGAAACTATGACTTCTATTTTAGCTCACTTATGAGTTGCATTCAATTGGTAAACAGCTTGTATAGCGCCCTGTGTTTTGCCCAAGGACACGACGGCAACTCTCCTGTTACTAAACCACCACTTAACTCCTCTGCCACTGTCATCGACGCCATTTAAATGCAACAGTTTTAATTGATAACCAAATGTTAACACAAATAAAAACCTAAGCAGTCAGAGAGAAATGTCTGGAGCAGAGCTCAAAATTACAATAATATAACATTTGGCAATTTAGGTGTGATTGAACCTTAAAAGATGAAAATGCAACAAAGCTAAATGTTCTGAATGTTTTAGGCTTGAATGAAATGATCTAAGAAACCAAACCAACAATTGTGAGTGATGAAACATGGAGGTGAGGTGCCGCAACAGATGAAAGCACACTTAGTGGCTGAATGACAAAGATGAATACATATTAGTGAAACATTCTATGCCAAGGTCAAAGCAAAGTTCAGCTCATATTTTAGGTGCAATCCCAAAGCTTCCTTCCATGCAGAGGAGTTTAGAAAATCCCACAGATTCAGAAAGGTTAAAGCCTTCCATTAACTTTATAATTCTCTTGTGAAACAGTTGCTGTTTGATCTTGTGCACCGTTATGTTTTCATCGTCTGCTGTTGGAATAGTCCGATGCATTTTTACATGTTATTATTGTAACCACTGGCAATCTGTCCAGGGTCTACCCCGCCTGTTTGCCCACTGACTGCTGGAGATAGGCACCAGCCCCCCCCCCCCCGCAATCCTGCATTTACAATCGGGTTCAGATAATGGATGGATGGATTGTTGAAGTGTAACGTCCAGAAAGGGTCGATTTTCACCTACATATTGACCTACATAGTGACCGGTCATCTACAGATATAATTCAATTTTCTAAGCAGATTTTATATTCTATCTTCTACAGCCCAGGAGACACTACTGTGCTTGTTGATATTCCCTGAAGACAAGATTGTCAGCCTATGTCTCCAAACAAAGCTTTCCTCTGATAAGACTGCTGGATTCCATACTCTGAATGAAAAGTGAACTTTTACAACTCATACAGTAAGTTAAATAATCATTAAATAATCATATGGTTGAATGAACCAGATGTTATATGAATAATAATGGATGGGGCGACGGTGGCACAGGAGTTAAGTGCTCGCCCCGTAATTGGAAGGTTGCAGGTTCGAGCCCCGCTCAGTCTGTTGCTGTCGTTGTGTCCTTGGGCAAGATACTTAACCCACGTTGCCTGCTGGTGGCGCCTGTGCTCGGCAGCCTCGCCTCTGTCACTGTGCCCCAGGGCAGCTGTGGCTACATCGTAGCTCATCCCCACCAGTGTGTGACTGTGTGTGAATGGGTGAATGACTGATTGTGTTGTAGAGCACCTTGGGGGGTTCCAGGACTCTAGAAGGCGCTGTATCAAATACAGGCCATTTACCAAATACAGGCCATAATAATAATAATGTTTGAATAATCTGTGCCTAATTACGTGAAGTTGAAATGAATATTTTTGCTTACAATGATCCATTTTTTGTTATGATCAGTAATGTTTGATTTAACAAGTGAATCATTATCTACACTCATACACAATGTGCATTAGATGCAAATTCAGGTTAAGGTCACATCACATAAGTTTAAAGATTCTTTATCCACAGAACAAAAACATCTTGTATCTGGAAGGTGTGATTTTCTGAGGGATGTTTGGTAACGCCGACAAGCATGTCAAATTCTGATTCGCAGAAATGATAAACTCTAGATTTAAAACTAGATTGACTGCCTGAGTTACTCGGTTTTCAACTGACATTCCAAAGTGGCCAATTCGGAACCAGCCTCTTTTGAAACATCTCTTTGGCATACAGTCAAAACCTGTTTGCACGCTGCAAGCTGACACAGCCGCACAGCACTTTGAGTCCATCCGTCTTAGACGCAACCAACCTTCATGCCTATTTTGACCTGGAGACAACTCGAGGCCGTTTTGGTCGTACTGTGGGTTTTTTCTACGGACATCGGTGCTTTGGGGTCCACACGACTTCCTGACATTCAGGATCTGCAACGGGGGTCTCCATCAGGGTTCGAAGATTCAACAGTTTGCGTCTGATGTTGCTTTATTAATAGTCAACTCTCTAGTTTATAGCAGACCAAATTGTTTTACACCCAGAATTCACAATTTCTTTCAGATACAAAGTTTCTGATGAACACCTGCTTTACACCATCATCACACATCCATCCATCACATATCATTATTCATAGCTTGTCATGTATTGTACTTAGTCTTGAAAATAAAGTTTATTTTTAATTATATACTTGACTCTGTCTAAATGAATACAAAGTGTGTTTATGGTCCCTGAATAAGCAAAGAATCCTAAATTATTCTGGATAAACATTCAAAGATCAATCAGATTGATATTCTATAATTATATAGAATCATCACATCTTATTGGTCATAATTAAACCCTCCAATCTCCTACAGTAGCCTAGCTATCTGCTATGGATTATGCTAGGTATGTTGTGTTAAGAAGGTACACTGCCTGGCCCAAAAGAAAGTCACCACCCAAAAAAAGGCCACGCGCTCTAATATTTTGTTCAACCACCTTCAGCTTTAATTACAGCACACATTCACTGTGGCATTGTTTCACTAAGCTTCTGCAATGTCACAAGATATATTTCCATCCAGTGTTGCATTACTTTTTCACAAAGATCTTGCATTGATGATGGTAGTCTGACCGCTGCGCAAAGCCTTCTCCAGCAAAGATTCTCAATAGAGTTTAGGTCTGGACTCTGGTGGCCAATCCATGTGGTAAAATGATGTCTCACGCTCCATGAACCACTCTACTATTTGAGCCCGATGAATCCTGGTGTTGTCATCTTGGAAAATGCCTGTGCCATCAGGGAAGATGGAATAACCTGGTCATTCAGTTTATTCAGACAGTCAGCTGACCTCATTCTTGGAGCACATCCTGTTGCCGAACCTAGACCTGACCAACTGCAGAATCCCAGATCATTGCACTGCCCCACAGGTAGGCACAAGGCATGATGGGTGCATCACTCTGGAGTCTGGAACAGGGTCCATCTGGACTCATCAGACCAGTTTTTAATAATGCATTGGACAGTTCTTAATCCAGTCATATTAGATGTTTTCTCTGCTTGATGCATGCCAGTGATTTGAGCCTTTGCTAATAGACTAAAATATTTTCCACGACCACCAGATGTGTCTTTTCACATGTGTTGCCAGCTGAAAGATTATCACCCATTCAGAAAATACCCAATAGGAGGCCCATTCCTATTTACTTAGTTAAATCCAGGTGGAGGTTTTTTTGGAGCGGGGCAGTGTATTAGTGATCATGTTGTGAAGTAAGTAATTAAGAAATGCTTAGAAGGGTTTTTGATCTAACTTTTAAAAAAAACGCAGTTCCTCACAATAAAATACAAAGCAGTTCAATAAAAATAGTTAAATAAAACTTTAAATGTGTTAATTAATGCTCTTCAAAATAAAATGTCTTGAGCTGCTTTTTAAAGACTCAACTCAAGAAACCACTGAGATAAAGGCTGAATGGGAGTCACGTGTCAAAACTCCAACAGCAGCATTTTGGATCTTCTGAAGACAATCAAGGCTTTTTTTAAGAAGAGTAAAAAGGTATAAAATTATCTTAATGAGAAAAGCATGCTCACATTTTGGTGGAATGTTTCTAAAAGTAGACAAATGTGTAATTTTTTAGAATAAGTAAATTGGGTAAGGAGCTAAACAAAGCTACATTTCAGTGTAATGATCCTAAAGAGATACACACATAAGTATGTGTGTGTGTGTGTGTGTGTGTGTGTGTGTGTGTGTGTGTGTGTGTGTGTGTGTGTGTGTGTGTGTGTGTGTGTGTGTGTGTGTGTGTGTGAGTGTATCTGCAGGAAAAAAAAACAGAGCCAGGCTCTGCAGCGTAATTACTTTTCTGTCTATTACAGTTTTATATCAGTTAATCATTTAAAAAAACAAACTTTGATCGATTCTCATAAATATAAAAGAACATGTTTCGTAGTTGGATCTGGATTGGTTTTGACATCCCAGGGGAATGAAAGGAAACTATTACTCTGACAGTCACAAGCCATTTATTTATATACACTGTAATCTGTGTTTAAATGTGGCATGGCAATGTGTTTATTTTAAATGTATAGAATGCAGAGACCCGTGTTCAATAAACAGAACTGACTTTTGGTTAACAGCAAATAATGTTGTCCTGAATTACAAAATGTTTAAAATCGATTAATAAAAAAGGGGGAATAAAATATAAAAGGTGTATTTTATGTGAAAACAAACACTTATGACAGCACATGAATGCACACAAACAATACCTGTCCTGAAAATAAGTACTAATATAATTATCCATGCAAGCAACTTAGAGGCTACTCATGTGTGACACTTTTTTATTTCCCTTCACCAGAAGAAGAATCTGACTTTGACAAGTGTAGCTCTGACATAAATGGCTTTGAGTTAATCTCACGTAATCTTGGTTAGAGTTGTTAAATGTGAGCTGTGTGAATTAGCACTGTTGTGTGACTAATGATAATGAAGAAAGACATAAAAATCTCATCTCACGTAAGTTACAGTGAAGAGCTTTGATGTTTATCCTAGGCAACAAGGAGCGAGGATGGCAACCAAAGCTCAAACAAAAATCTATTTACATGAAGTAAACACACAGATTTGTAGCTGAAGCCACAAAACCATCAATGAGAAGCTAACAGGTTTATGTGAGGTCTTTCTACCAGACTTACACCACACCTATGGGAGATACTTGCATTTGGAGACACATGTGAGTAAACTGATTTAAAGATCAAGTACACTTGATTTTATTTTTTCATTCTTGCAGTGGTCTCTAGAATAAATGAATGCCTTGTGAGTCAACCTCGGTGCCAATAAAGCTCTGGCGCTCCTGTTTGAGGACCTAGAAATGCGCCACAGCAGGGGAGAACTGAACATGGCGGGATTTGGAATCTTATTTCCTGACATCTTACCTTTGATTGGATAACAGCAACGTGACTCTGCCACTGACTCTGTTTGCTTTGCTCTGTTTGCTTTGCAACGCTGATGTTTTATTTCCACAAATAACACAAGACTGAAGGAGTTCTGCTGTGTGGTGCAGTTGCCAATGCTAAAGGTTAGCTTCTACTGGTTTTTTACCATCTTTGCACAGTTTTAATTGCTTTTATTATCTATTTATTCATTGTGATTTACATTTCTTATGTACTGTGTGCAGCGCTTTGGGCTCATTGAATGGGCTGAAGCCTTGAAGGTGCTTTACAAATAAAGCTTTGAACTGAATTGAATTGCTGTTTGATGGATGCTAAAACAAAAACAGCCTTCCCTGTAGTGAGTGAGTACGGTGAGTCCATGAATGTTAATTTTACTGTAACGCACATCTCCATGGCTTTTCTAATATGAGTGTTTCCCTGTCTATTTTCTGTCTGCAGCTTACAAAGGAAATAGAAGTAGATTATTTTCATATTTAACCCGATGGTTTCTTAGTGAAACTCGTCTTTAGGACATTTATAAAATGATGATCCATTTACCTACAGATGGCTCCTTGATCCTGTCGGTTTTCCCAGGACCGTTGATGACATTTGAGAGGAGACGTCTATCCTGATGTGACAGAATTGACTTGTGGAAATTAGACGATGATGACACAAAAACTGGATCATCTCTATATTTGAGATCTGACATTCTGTTGGAATAAACAGAACCATGGCTTGGGACGGGGCTCACTATTGACAAAACGGGTTCCAAGGACTTCACTGGTGGTTGAAGTTGAAACGAAACAGGTGATAAAGAATGTGTGGGTTGATTTTCTGATGGAAGAAACTGGAGGTCACTCGTGGAATCTTGGGATTGCTGTGGGAAGAAGAGATTGCCTGCTGGAGCTTCACGAATCTCCAGAGATGAGCTTGTTTCTGCAAACAACTGGGAGGGGGCGGTTTGTGACAAGAGAGATGAGTCTGTGCCTTTTTGTTGTGGGGCTGAGTGGTAAACCTTTGGCAATAAGTCCAACAGAGTAGAACTTGATGGTGAAACTGTGAAAGTAGACCTCAGGGGAAACCCTGCTGATGAACAAGAGGAAAGATACTCTTTGGGGATTTTTGACAAGTTTCCATCCAGAACTGAAACATCAGTGAAAAGTGAATCAGGGGAGTGGGAAGGATTGGTGATTTCACATCGTGAATGGGGTAATGAGGATGAAAGTTGTGGTGACCCGTGGTGTACTTTTGATTTGTGGATAGCGTGAGAGCCAACGGGCCTACATGACTGTGGAGTTGGTGTCTTGACTGACTTCTTTGATGTTCCAAGGTTGTCAGAAATAGGATAAGATGATGTCTTACTTTCAGAAGGAAATTCTGGAAAAGACAAAATTCTTCAAAATACTTATAATCACTCTACGTGGAAACATTTATACAGACAGTATTGAGATCTATAACACATATTACCTTTGCCTGACTGCTTTGGTTTGGGATTGTGATTGTCAGATGAATGAACCTTGGCTGGTTTCACAGGCTGTTTGGGTGGCTGTGTTGAATCTAGAGGGAAGTGGTCAGCTTTGAAGGACGCATGTCTAGAAGAACTATGTTCGCTTCGGGAACTCTGCTGAACAGTATCGATTCTGAAAAACAGTACATTTTGTGAGTAATATATAAAAGTATTTGCAACCATATTGACAATATATTCTAAAATAAATTTACTTTGTGTTTATTTTTTCTTAGTTAAAAACTAACAGGGAGATAAATCACACATGCAATAGAGAAGAGAAATACTAGCAGCTCAGTTATCCGATGTGGATTCTACAAACGAGTGTTGTTAAGCCTGATTTATACTCCTCAGCTCCGCGAGGGAGAGACGCCCACACACACATTGACAGACATGTTTTGGTCTTGGACTTGTCCGTCACCTGAGGAGTGTTGCAAATCCATTCCCCACCAGGACAACAGAGGCCGTAGAGCTTTTCTGTGGTACCATGCCATCATTTCGCCTGTGTATCTGGTCCATGATAATGTATTTCCTAATGTGTTTATGTGTTTCAGAGACTTTATAAAACGGACAAATGTGTCCATCATTCTCCTCCACTTCTTCATGGGGTCGCCACCTCTAAACCATGCTCCTAAACTCAAGTTTCTCATAATTTTCTTCCACAAATAAAATGTTTGCTCCATATTTTGGTACTCCTTCAGTCACGGGTGAATAAAACGTTCATATTTTCTGAATTTTTCCACAATGCGTTCTTCAACCTGTTCCAGGTCTGCCGCTGAATATCTTTTTACTTTTTAATGGGGCAATGGCGGTGCCGTTGATGAATTTACAGAAAGTGGCGTCCTGACCAATCACAGCTTGCGGTCTCTACCACTTTTGACGGATGTTTAAAACTTGGAGTCTGGCTTCGTCACCCTCTGTGACCCTGTCATATAGCCCTTGCTCCGGCGCATAGCAGCGTTGTGAGCTTCCGCACCGATGCAGAAGTATTAATCAGGCTTTAGGAGCAAAAATGAGAAGGCCAGTTCTGCATCAAGGCAACCAGGAAATGTCCTGGTGCTCTTGGTGGCCAATCCACCAATGTCTGTCCTCGTTATTAAGCAGAATAGCATAAATGTGACAGGTGTCTGATGAGTCATGGTTAACACTTGTGTTTTTAATTTGAGTCTTACTGTCTGTTCTGTCTCTTCTGTGGTTCTGCAGGGTCTCTCTTCACGTCTCTGGGTGTCTGGGAAGAACAAAATAAATCAATGTTTTCACACAAATGAGAGAGAGAGAGAGAGAGAGAGAGAGAGAGAGAGAGAGAGAGAGAGAGAGAGAGAGAGAGAGAGAGAGAGAGAGAGAGAGAGAGAGAGAGAGAGAGAGAGAGAGAGAGAGAGAGAGAGAGAGAGAGAGAGAGAGAGAGAGAGAGAGAGAGAGAGAGAGAGAGAGAGAGAGAGAGAGAGAGAGAGAGAGAGAGAGAGAGAGAGAGAGAGAGAGAGAGAGAGAGAGAGAGAGAGAGAGAGAGAGAGAGAGAGAGAGAGAGAGAGAGAGAGAGAGATAGAAACACTTGTTCACTCTCACCTCTTCCAGGACCTTGATGAAAATGAAAGGTGTGGGTGTGGAAACCTGTGGCTCAGGTTTGCTGCTGCTGTTGGGGACAGCTAACAGTGATGCACAGTAGTTATGAAAATCCTCTTCATCAGCTACGATGGATAAAGATATGAATAAAGATTAGGCAGGAGTAAAACAAGGGAAAATATTTTTAAATGATTTACCTTCAAAAACTCATTGTATCATTTTTATTTTTATGGGGAATGTGCGTGTAGATGGCAGGTTAGTTGTAAAGTGCCATGGGGGGTTGTAGAACCAGAGAAGACACTATATAATACGGGCCATTTACCATTAACAGAAAAGTAGATTTTAATAAAAGTCAGTCAGATCAATGTAAAATGGCAGCTGATTAAAAAACACCCCTGTTGTGCCTGTCATCTAGAGTTTGAGATGGCACGAATGCTGACCAAGGAAATGTTTGTTTTCTATATTTTAACTTGTTTGTCAGCAAACATATTTCGTGAACCATTGCACAAATTTTAAATAAACTATCACTGAATGTACAACTACAACTTATTCACTTTTGAGACCAAACAACTCAGAAACCAGTCACCAGCACCGGTGCAAAGAGAGTTTGAAGCTATTCCTCTGTTAGTAGCTGAGACTGAGTGCGGACACGTTTTCTGGGATTATGTAACATTGGACATATTTACGAGATTTGATTAAAATAAAAAATAAAGATGAAAAGTAGTAAGCAACGTGTATTCGTTTAAAATATGCTTAATAAAGGATACACATTTTATATTATATGAGACTATTATAAAGAAGATAAAAGCTAAAATAATTTTCTTTTACATTTTTGACAACGCCTTAATTCTCTTGTACGTTAAATACAGTATTTGCCCATAGAAGACGTTGTTCAATTTAAAGTTATCATTATAATCTTTTTTCTACAGGCACCTTTCGCCTGGTTCCTACACCACGACTTTACTCTGCTCAGATTTTAATAATTGATGCTTCTTTCTTGTAGTTTCCAATAAATGTCAATAAAACAAAACCATTAGTGTCTTTGGGAGATGTGGATCTGTTCAGCATCTGATAACTCATTCCTACCACCTGCTTCGAACTTTGATTTAAATTCACACCAGTTACAACAGGTTGCAGAGTTTCTCCTCCTCTTCCATCTTTAAACATGAAACGTTGAGAAACGAGTGTGTGTGTGTGTGTGCATGTGCATGAATAAGGAATGTTGTTTACTGCATAGTGTGGGGAGCACCCCCTTGTTTTAAATTCTTATTTTCCTGTGCTGTCAGACCCATGGGGTGATGTGAAGGCAGTGTGTCTGTGTGTTAGTGTGTGTGTGCACCTGCTTCATGCAACACACCCGGTCCTTCATTAAAACAGAAGTTATTTTGTGTCTAACTGGTTGACTCTTTAAAGCAACCAGAGTAAGATCAGAGATCATCTTAACCTTTAGGATAAGAAGCAGCTGACTGCAGAGGTCTGGAAAGAGAGAAATAATTCTGATCTGCCCATCTTCTTTCAGCTTTTGGTAGAAAATCGGAGCACTTTACTGACTGATGAGCCACAGATAGCAGGCTCCAGACTACAAGCCGATCCCTCGCTCCCTTTGCTCGCCTCATTCCTTACTCTGTCAGTTTTAAGCTACCTATAACAGCCCTCTACCCACACAATCACAGCCAGTGATTACCTGTCACGCTGCCATGGATGGATAACCCAGCACTGATATGTCTGACCCACTGAGAGAAAAAGATTTAGCAAACCTGTGTTTGTATATCTGACTGTGATGTGTGTGTAAATGTGTACTTGTGCAGGTCAACTGTCACAGACAACTGTGTCCAGCACAGAGTTTGAGAGCCTCTTTGCCCTACGTGTATCACAAAGGTAAGGGAACATAGCTAAAACATCATGATCCGAGCATAGCAATGCTCTTTTTTAATATCCAGTGATGCATGTGGATGTAGAGATGGACATGCATCTGGTTACATGTGGACAAGTGGAATACCATTTAGGCAGTAAGATGTCTCCTCCTCCTCCTCCTCCTCCTCCTCTGTGTCTCTGGTTAGTGATTTTAGGTCAATGGCAACGGCCAGAGATGGACCACAGCTTTCAACTGGTGTTCTGAAAAAAAAAATAATAATAATAATAATTCTAAAATTTGTCAATAAGGTTCAAACCAATAAAACAAAAAAATCATGTGCTTTCTAGGATAGATGGATGGATAAAGCTCCATATAAAAATCCAATTAAAACATTTTTCCATTTGATAGTTCTAAGATTTTTTTACCCAAAACAGAAGCTTGTACAGTTTATACCTTCTGTTCGTAAGACTCAGCACCATCAGCCCTGAAGATATTGGGTAATCTTTTCTTTTTAGGTCTAATATACCCAGACAGCATACCCCCCCCCCCCCCCCCCAACACACACACTCATTTATCTCTTCACATAATACGTTATACGCACCGCCCTCGTGAGCTATGCACAGTTTTCATCGAGGACTCCACCAGAAAGCAATAAAGGGATTGTGTTGATCTCTACTCTCCTGGTCTTTGGTGATACATTTTTAATCTATTGCTGAAGACAATGTCAACTTGCAAAGTTGCGCTCTTCTCCCTACTGGAATAAATACTTTCTAATGTTAAAACAAGCATCATTCCAAACTAATTTTTACACCAACAAATTGTTTGATATCTCAAAATGAATAAGAAATCAAAAATTCTAACAAAAAATAAACCCCATCATAAATTACTTAAACATTATTAAATATGAATTATGGACCTGTGTTGCGTGCTGAAGTAACGTAACACAGATGGTGCAATCGTTTTGGTGATTACTTTAAGCTATACTCTTTATAAAAACCATCTCTAACAAAACAAAAACACCAGGAGGGACACAGCCCCTCTATATTTAGCCCTTTGTTTAGCTCAGCCACATCTTTAGGTCTGATCTAAATCAGAAAAGACTCGATAAAGCACAGGAGTGCAGTTACACAAACTTCTCCTCAACAACGGCTCTAAGTGACTCTGTCAAACTAGTCACACTATTTGATTCAGACTAGCCGCGTCTACCGGTACTTCAGAACACAACTGACAGCAGTTGTGTGGATTTGAAGGTTCGTGCAGGAACAGTGTAGAAGCATGCACAAAATGATTGACACGCGAGAAGGAAACACACTTTTTTTGTCTCTTGAAGGGTTTGAAACATTTTACTAAAAATACGTCTTCAGATAGTAAAATAATAAAAATGTTCTCTATACTGGCCAAATGTCACAGGATTGGAAATCACCATTCTACTGGAATCATGTTTGATGGGCCCATTGTGCTTTTTCATTTATTCATTAGTAACATTTCTATACTGAACATGTTTTATTTCTCAGCAGACTAAACACTAAAATATTTAGTAAAAAAAATCGTATATATGTATATTATTTTTGGCAACATTAAATCAGTTTTCAGAGACGCAGAAAACGACCAGTTCACATCTCAGACTCAGAGCAGACTTTTATTTGAAGGTTCAGAGCTAACTGTTGCTCTTGATAGAAAGGTGAGCGTTCAGTTAGCCAACCTGAGTCAGCTCAGGGAATCAGACTAGTGCTGCCTTGGTCACAAGCTTGCTTTCTATAACCTGCAGGCCATGCACAAATCTACCGAGGTGATAGAGTTTACGACTTTAATATAGCCGAGCACTTTTAGCAGATTCTTTAGAGCTCCCTCCTGCTCCACACTCCCTCCTTCTCCCATTATTATTGAAGCTTGTTAAAATTCAACCTCTCCTTCCTTCTTCCCTCTAGCCACTAAGTCTCTCTGTCTCTCCATTAAGCTCTGCCACCATCACCGCTGCAGGCTTACTGCACTCCAGATTGGCTCTCTAGTCTATTCCAAAGTTAAAGGCTGCTTCAGCTGGGGACTGGAAGCATTCCTGCTTAGGCTGTGAGAAGACCCCAGACCTACACTGCACTCTCTTTCCTGCGGACCTGCTCTCCAGTGGAATACTGAACCCGAAAGAAGCTGCTTAAATAAAGGTTGTAATAATGCGGCCGGCAGAAGTCCAGCCTGCAGGCAATGTACTGCTCAATAAGTGCAAAGAAATTGTTTTATACACCGGTGACTTATGTGGGCCGACTGTGAGGAGGCAGAAGAGGTGTGTGCTAATAAAAACGTGCACATGTGTGTGTGTGTGTGTGTGTGTGTGTGTGTGTGTGTGTGTGTGTGTGTGTGTGTGTGTGTGTGTGTGTGTGTGTGTGTGTGTGTGTGTGTGTGTGTGTGTGTGTGTGTAAATTTGTGCCCTACCAGTGGAAGTCACAAAAAAATGAGTTGTTAAAAGTAAAGTTTGCATTCGATGATCTGATATTAAAAATTGTTATAGACACACCAATATTTAGCGCCGATTGGTTAAACGTTGCCATGGCGCAAACTGTGACTACCGTGATCTCTGACGATTGGTTGGGTGAAATCTCGTGATTCTGAGAGAATGTGAAAAAGTGCACCACTGACATCATCTATGATGTGAATGGAAGTGTCTAAATATAGACGCTGGCCCTGTAAAGGAACATTACTTTTGATATGTGGCCATGTACTAATTAAGTACTTTGTAAAATACTTAGTAAAAGCCTAAATCCAGTTAAATGTTTGCCTGTAAAAGGCAGAAAGCACAGAACGTGTTTCTCTAGGATGCTAAACAGACGTTACTATTGAACATGTTAGAAATCCATATCAGAAGCCTCAGCAAGGTTTAGAATATGTACTGTATTAGGCTGAGGACAGACCGGCCGCCGAAGCGCCGCAAAACGGAGGACGCCTTCATTCGGCGCCCTTGTTATCCTATTCTATAGACCACATGGGCCGCCAAAGCGCCGCGCGCCGGCGCTCCAGCCCGCGCCGTGCAGCGATCGTTCGGCGTCTGCTCTATTTTTTTCGCAAGCCACAGGTGAACCGTGTCAATTCTGGCAGGAAGTCAAACCTAGACATAAGAGGTAGACCAGTAAATTTAACAAATTAAAGCATTTCAAAATACAATTCCGCGACAGTGAAATGTGTTTGTAAACAGACACTGCATAAACACACACACACACACACACACAGCGAACTTGTGTGTGTGACCACGTGAAGAGGGTGTGGTTTGGGGTGTCTTTGGGAGCAAACAGGACAGAGAGGCAGAAAGTCATAGGCCAACTACAACTGGTTCACACCATAGGTTCACACACACACACACACACACACACACAGCAAGGGGGAGGGGGTGTAGAGGAAAAGAGCAGAGAAAAGGCAGAGAGGAAATGGAGGACACCAAGTGGTTAAAATAAAAACTATGAGGTGCGCCTCGACCGGAGCAGATGAACAAGCGTCTGGTCTGAACTATGGAGCAGCGAGCAGCGGCCGAATTTCGTGAGCGCTTCGCCTCCCGGCACTTCGCGGTGCTTCGGCGGCCGGTGTGTCCCCGGTGTTACACATAAACTGTGGACAATGTCAGGGAGGTCATGTCCAGACATGTCCCACAGTTGCCTTTTATGCTCTCAGGAAGCTTAAGATTGACCTTTAAAACATATTCCAGAATTAGGCCTTGCAGAAAATGTACAGTGCAGAAAAATGTGTTTTGTTTACACGTCACAAGAACTGTGAGTCTGTCAACACGTCAATAATTAAATCAATATTATATGAAGCAGTAAATGTATTTAATATTGATAAAAGAGTAAAAATGAAAACAAAGTAGGAGGAAAAATAACAAATGTCTACTTGTGACGGAATTTCTCTCTGGATTGTCTGCTCTTGCCATATTCAGGTACATTTTCACATTATTTGATTTTGTTTGTGAAATTTCAGAGCAGCAGTGAATGTTTGAAAATGCTTTCTTTGTTGTGTTTTGTGCATTGTTAGATGTACCTGCGGTGCTTCTTGAGGAGCAATCTATCCATGTGGGTGAGGTTGTTTTCTGTAAACTCCACCTTGACAGCTTGCCTCTCCTTCTCACCGCCTCTTTGTCCTTCAGCATCTCTGTCTAGAGGGAGGTCCGTCTGGGTCACTATGGCTGACACTAATATTGGAGAAATATGGGTAAGAGTATGTCAAATATAAAATAAAAACAAACAACAAAAGTTAAAAAAGGAGTCTAGAGGAAGAAAGAGGTGAACACAGCAAGAAGAGAAGGAGGGAAAACATACTCAGTAATCTTCTCAACACACCTTCCTTCAACAAGTGTGAATACACCTTTTTCACCATCACAAAAATACCAAAACACAAGCAGACAGCATGAAGCCCCGTGGGAATGGGAACGAGATTTAAACAATACAAAAGGAACATGGTGAGAAAAGAAGACAGGTAAGTAAGTAAAAGAGAGGTTATGATTGTATTCCAGACACTTTGGCGGCCCGCGGTGGCAGCTTTAAATTGGGTCCTGCTGCCATTGGCCTGACAGAAATAATTAGGGCTGGAGGGGCTAGCAGCAATTTGCAGAGCAGAGCGAACGGAGATGAGCAGAGTTTGTCTGGGCAGTAAAGCAGAGAAAAAAAAAAGTTTAATGATAAGCACAAACACCTCGATACATTCACACACAATCTGGAATAATGGCACTAATAAAACACACCCACATAAATCCAGCACACACACAAAGCGATGCACTAATGTAAAATGCAGCATTTATGAATTTCCTTATATAGTTTTTACATGCACACAACCGAGGCTATCAATGCAGCGAAACACTTTCACTCTCGTTACCTCTATATGCATCTCCCCTCCCCACACACCGCCCCACCCTACAGAGGAAAGCACTTTCTATAAGACCTTTATTTATATTGATTAACTGATCAGAGCAGAGACAGAAGGACTGCAAGCAGAAAAGACGAGGAGAACATAAAACTGATGGTGGAGATGAGAGAGACGAGGGACAGAGAAGTATGTAGTGCGTAGAGGTTAAAAAATATAAAAATACGTTTGGTTTTCCCACAGATCTGTTCGATAGGTGAGAAATTCCCTCAGTTGGTATTGCATTAAAAACAACATTTTGAAAACATGTTCCAACACTGGCTTTTCCAACACGTTCCAGTTTATTTATTGATGTTTCAGACCTCAGGCCTCCCTAAGATCACTGACGAGGGCCTGAGGGCCTGAACGTTAATAAATAAAGTGGAAACGTATAAGGAACTGGAGAGGGCATGGCGTTTTCCCATCAGTTTAAAATGGCCAGCTTCTCTTTTGGTGTTGATTACTTTATTTTCTTTTTTTCTTCTAAATGGTGTTTAAAGGGGCGTTATGGAAGTTTGACAGCCAAAACATGTATAGAAATAATACATTTCTTCTTCATACATTCTCCTGCAATGCCCTGGTCCTGTAGAATGAGCCCTGGCATTTTTACTGTGATTGTCTATTTTTCTGTAAAATCACAGAAAAAGAGAGCTGCTCGGGTCGAGCAGGCTGCTTCATGCGCGTTCACGCTCAGGCATCACCCGTAGCATTTGCTATCAGTAGCTTTAGCAGCAGAGAGTGAGGTAGTGCCAACTCAGCGACTTTGTCGCTGTTCCTAACGCCTAGTGATGAACCTAGCCACATTTCTGAGGACCCTTAGCTCCTTTCTTCTAGATATTTCCTGCAAATTAGCAACAAAATAGCCATTTTCGCTTCGAATCGTTCTTTGAACGTTGTGTCAGCTGTCATCAGGAATATAAATATTACAGATACCATATATGTCAGTGGTGGTTTAGCTCATCTAGTTAGATGTCAGACTCTCGGGCAGGAGACCCGGGTTTGATTCTGGGTGTGAACACAGTTTATGTAGAGTTTATTTTTTACATTAATGATATATTTTTTTACAGTAAGATGCCCACATTTTTATTTGAGACTCGCCGAACGGCATTGAATTCACAGATAAAAAAGATGTGGGTTCAAATTTCATTTTGGAACAATTTTTCAAGCAAGGGGCGGGCATGATCTGAGCATGCAGGAAGACTGACCCATCATAAACCTTTGTCGGCTGTGCTGAAGAGAAAGTTACAGAACCAAATTATTTAATTAATTAGCTGCACGTTCTCCTGCCCTCTGTCCTCCGGGCCACACACACACACACACACACAAGGGACTGTCAGCTCTCAGAGCTCTGCTGTTATTTTCGTTAAGGAGTGTGCACGTACAGCATGCGGGCCTCGTGCACGAGCCTCCTATTGAAGCTGCCGTTACGCTTTTGGCCAGAGGGGGCAATCGCGAGCATAAAAATTCAAAACTCCGTAAAGTCCCTTTAAGAGAAAAATGTTTAAATCTTTGCTGGAGCTTACTTTTGTACTTGTGTACAGTAGAAAATGGCTGCCACCAGAATTAGAAGTTAAAGGTTTATGTCTGAGCTCTTTAAAGATGCACTCAGATGAGTTTTAAAACTGGTTCATAGACAAGAATGTCTATTTGTTTTTTTTTTTTTTTTACATTTTGTGATGGATGAGAGAAACCTTGTAAACTTTAAATACTAGCAGTTGTGTTGGTAAGTGGATGTCTTACTGCATGTTATGGTTAAGCTGCACAGCTGTAAAGAGCTGAGTTTTGAGGAAAGAAAACAGTTTGCTTTCAAAATTATTGGAATTTGTTTGTTGTTTCTCGCTACCCCTGACTGTGTCAATAATCTGCAAGGTCATCAATGCCTATGACCACATCTGGGTAATCCACCTGATTTAGGAGGCATTTGTATTTCCTCCATTGTCCTAGTCTGCTTTGCCCCACCACTTCTCTCTGCCCTCCACTTCATCAGAGCTTCTTGGAAAGATCGTGCAGACTCCTCCTCGCTGTACTGCCCTGTAAGAACAGGGGAGGCCCATCCTTTCCTATCGTCCTCCATTATCACCATCTTCTCCTGCCCATGATGCAAAAAAGGAGAACACTGTTACAAATTTGATATCAAACTTAAAAATCTTGCTTTCTTGTGTTAGAATATCTGCATACTAAATTGTTGTATAGCTAAACACACATGTATCATTGCAAGTTCATGAAGTGGCCTGTTAAATAATGTTAAAGACTGTATTATGTGTTCATCTGAGTCTGAATACGTTTCTGGCATGGATCTAAATCTGGCTGCTTGGAATTGGCTTTTCTTGTGAAAAACTTAAATAAATCAAGTGGACCAACTAGTCTGATGACAAGGGCAAGAACATGCTATTACACATTTGCAACCATGTTTTTTTTTGGCAGAATTATATAACTGGCAAAGTATTTAAAGAGGTCATCAAGTCGTAAAAAATCATCACAGTGTGTGAATGTGTGTGTGTGTGGATGAGTGGAGCACTGATTGTGTTGTGAAGCACCTTGGGGGGTTGTAGCACTCTAAGAAGGCGCTATACAAATACAGGCCATTAGTATTCATAATTAGACTCCTAAGTATTTGTCAAGTAGTGAAAATAACTTGTTATAAATGTCGTACCTGTCTGACATTTAACCCTTATAGGTTTACAGTGATGAAACAGATTTTTGTTATAAAAGTAAGCTTGGATTTTGCCAATAAAGTTTTAAAAAGCCAAAGAAATTGGTTTGTATTTTTCACACAGTTCCGCCTTGGATGTGAAGAATAAAAAGATTTGTGTTGTAAACAAGGAGGTCAAACAAGTTATTGAGGCTTTTGCTTCACAGACCGGTGCCTTTATCCAAGTCTAACTATTCAAATTGAACAGTAATTTTCTCTCTACCTTCTGACCCCAGCGGTTTGAAATGGCTGCTGTGAATGGGGCCAACTGGGCCCTGTGCTGTAAAGAGCATGAAATGTCAATCTAACTGTTCTTGCCAGACCTGCACTGCTGGAGGACACTTTTTTAGTCCAAAGGTGCATGGAGTTCACAAGCTCGCCTTTAGATGCAGCCTGTGGATGTAGCGTCAATTAGGGTTTGTTTGAAGTTTTTTTTTTTTAGTAGAGTCCCAAGGTCTGGAGGTAGGACTTTCTTCATGTAGAGGCTACTTGATATCTGTATTTACTGCCACGTGAAAGCAACCAAACTAAAAAAAAAAAATCAAGTGCAACTGTACCTGCTGTGAAAATCCCCCCAAAATATTTTAAGCTTTAATTAGTTGTGTATTATTTTTTACTCATTATAAAAAATACTACCACACACACACACACACACACACACACACACACACACACACACACACACGAGTAAAATAAAACATCTGTATAAACATAGCTGAAACAATAACAAGGTAGCAATTAAAATAATAGTCGAGTGTCAATGAAAATCTCACTTTTATATACAAAATAGCTGTAGGCTGAGAAAGTCAATGCTAACCCTAACTTGATTTTTAATCATAACCTAAAAGACACTAAATGTGTAAAAAATGTTTTTTTTTTTTTACAATTGGAAACTGTTCTTCGAGCTTCTGTATGGCATATTGTAGCAGTGAGAGCGTCCTGTCACAGTGTCCCGATTGATCATACACCCTGACTACTTGGCCAAAGGGATGTCCCTTTGGCTGACTGGTAAGCACGCATGACTCTCACCTGGGAGTCTGGGGATCAAATTCCGCCCGTGTCCTTTTTTCTCCACCTTGCCACAATATGATGTTACTTATGTTCTTGTATCATCAGGGCTCACGGCTCACAGTGACCCAAGAGCCCCCATAATACTCATCCCATCATAAAGCCCTATAATGAAACGACTAATTCTCCTGGCCCACTCAGAAAATGAATACTAAATGAGCTTAATGCCGATTGGATGGTTTACCCCTATGGATTTAGGAGGGGGCTGGGAGTGCAGATGAATGAGAAATGAAGTGAATGAATGGTTGGTAGTGGTGAGGGGGTTTGAGGATAAACAAGGAAGTAAGTGTCCAGCCAACGCCAAGGATGGGGAGTGGCACGGTTGCAGACAAAACAAGGAAGAGGATAAGGATTGCAAGTTGTTGATCTCTTTGTTGTTTTCTTCTTGTCCACAAAGTTAGCAGCTTAGGCTAGTGTTAGCAGTAGTGCGGATTAGCATTAGCAGTAGCTCAAATTGGCATTAACACTAGCTCAGGCTAGCATTAGCACTAGCTCAAGCTATCATTTTTTGGGGGGTTAGCATGCCATGACCAGCGTTTATATATTGCTGATTTTGAAGTGGGTTGGGATATCCAGATTAAAGGCTGCATGTCTGAGCTAACAACGTGTTAAACCAGTTTCAGGGCTGCCAACTCTCATGCATTAAGCATGAGACACAGGCATTTGAAACCTTTCCAAATATGGGTCTATTCTCTTTTGCACCCTCGTCTTTTGACCACCAATATCTCACACTGAAGAATCAACTCCCCGCATTTAGAGGTGGTGATTAAGGAAAGGGTTTTATTTCATGTTAAATATAATATGTTTTCTTGGAAACACTGTATGGACACGTTCAGTTGTATGCTTTGTTTGTATCTTGGTTGTAAATATGCACCTAAAATTGCCTACTTTGTTCATACCGCAAATAAAAAAGGAATTGCATATTTGTCCAATTCTAAACTAATTCTTTCATCACTAGTGCAGCACCTACCTGGCTGCAGTCACTGAGGTATTTCTCAAGTTTTCCTTTGACCTTTGTTCCTTTCTGTGGGCTCTCATCTTTCCGCCTGGTTATTGCATTGGATGCGCTGGTGTGATTGGAACTGGAGCTCTTACCAGAACCAGGATTAAAGTTACTGGGAAAGGAGTCAGAGATAATCTGTTCCTGAAAGCAGCTGGCGTCTTGACCGCTCACATGAGTCAGTGAGTCTGTCTGCAACATAAGACAACAGGATATGGCACCACATCAATATTTGTCAGCAGCTAAATTGTTCAAGTAATGAAGTGAATCAATAAATATGGGAGAAAAATGTGTTCATCTGTAGGTAAGTCATTTATTTATTGAGTTTTTTTGCGTAAAAGTTGGGTTCATGGGTTTCCATAATAAGCTGAAGGTTTTCTAGCAGTTTTGTCTGTTCCTAGGCCACCAGGACGTGAAAAATAATATTGACAAAATGCATTGGGCAATGGATGACAGTAGAAACTTTGATAAAAATGTCTTCCTACATGCATCAAAGGAACTCTAGAGACCTCTTCAATAAGGGAATTAAACGATGCATCCATGTCAGAAATATTTGCGGGACTCTTTAGAAACCGCTAGAAGCCAAGGTAGTTCCATGCAGATTTTCCTGAGAGCCAGTAAATGTGATCAACAAGAATTAGTATTCTTATTGTAAAATTGCAGACAAGAGATTTAGCACTCACAACTTTTACACAAATTTAAGTAATAAATACCCAGCAAGCCCTATTTGAAGCACAACGATGGCATAAAAGCAATGAGATGATGCCACTGTAGGCAACTTTCATGACCCGAGGAGGGTAAACCCTAATCATTTTAAGTGCTTACACCTACATCCCTGGCATGACCTTGAAAGTCAATACTGAGAAGTAAATTTTATAGAGTTAAAATATGCACCTCTATTTTATCTAAATTAATTTGCTAAGAACCCATGCAGAGAGAGTCCAGAAGTGTGTGTGTGCGTGAGTGCATATGTGCGTGCGTGCATATGTGCGTGCGTGCATATGTGCGTGTGTGTGTGTGTGTGTGTGTGTGTGTGTGTGTGTGTGTGTGTGTGTGTGTGTGTGTGTGTGTGTGTGTGTGTGTGTGTGTGTGTGTGTGTGTGTGTGTGTGTGTGTGTGCATGTGTGCGTGTGTGTGCATGTGTGCGTGTGTGCGTGTGTGTGAGATAAAGCTGGCACATTTAGTCTGCTTGCTCTAATCACAAGCTCCATCCAAAAACAGAGTATGATCAGTTAAATCTATAAGGAAATGTGTTCCACACCGCCTAATGGCCAATTGGTTCAAAAAGCTGGAGGCATTAATGTGCTCATTAATTACCAATAACAAGTGGGGCCTGCTGATCCTATAGTATCTGTAGACTGATATCTTATCTCTAAGCGTGATGATGAGGATTTTGTTTCAGATGCAGAACATTACTTAAAGCCATCTGAGGTGATCTAATATGACTTCTGCTGACCTTTTGCTGTGTTTTGTAAACATAAGACAACAGGAGGGTTTGATGGATCAGTGATGCTGTGGATCTGCACTTTTTCGCAGCTCTTTAGAATCCAACAAACAAGCAGCTTTGCCGACCTCTGATGTGATCAACCACCTGAAAAAGCAGCATTCATGGGAATCTTCCTGAGGAGCTTGACTCTCATCCAGGCAGCACCGAACAGTTTTGAAGCCTTGTACTGTATATGTAGTTTATAATGATGTTAATGCTAACGCCTGAAATTGGACCTGTAGCACCTTCGCAGAGATCTGTGCTGCCTGAAGAAAATCTATAGGGCACAAGCAGCACTCTGCAGACTGAAAAAAGTGGTAACTTTTTTATTCACATAGTCTTTTATCTAAAAAAATGTTTCTATGTAGGTTGAATAAACCGGTTAGGCTGTTTTTAAAGGCTTCCCGAAACATCATCTATGATTCTGACAACACTAGACATCTCCTGCAAGAACTAAACATGTAGCATCAGGAATTTTCCATCTGTGACCCAATTCCTTCACTGTGAAAATGTGACTATATATTGTGATATTTACAAATGTGCTAATCTGAAATAAAGTCTACTCTCGCCAGTACAGCTCTCAGTTTTTAAGTACAAAAGAAGTTACTTACTGCTATGTTTTTTTAAATAAATAAATCTTAGTGTCCAAGCAATCCCACAAGCCTGGAAAATGTATCTTGATTTTTAAAACCCTTTGATGGCAAATGTTTGCATCAAAAACAGACAGAACAAACAGATATTTTTCCCTGACCACTTTCCAGTTGTGTTTACAGGTGCACTTTGATGAGAACTGGAGGCTTTTGTGTGCCTAAAACAAAGAGCTTGTCAGATCATCTAAAACTCCTCTGTGTTGTATAATTGTAGTCTAGTCATTCCAACTTAAAAGATACACTCCAGAACTCTAAACACAATGGCAACAGGGTAGATGAATATGAGTAAATACGACTTTAGACTTGTCTAAGTTACTATTTTTCCATCGTCAGACAGTGTTTTACAGTTGTTTTGCATGCAGTTTCTGGAAATGTTATTTCTTGTTGTTTTTCTTTTCTATTTAAAATACTTTCATCTAGATTGTTTAGGCAATATAAATAATATAATAAACTACCCAGTAATGTATGGCTTCTGCTTTGGCATGAATATGAGTCGGATAGATAAAACCATGCTTGCCCATAGACCGCTGGAGATAGGCACCAGCCCTCGCGCGACCCTGTGTGGACAAGCGGGTACGGACAATGGATGGATCGATAAAACCACAACTGGCTACATAAACAGGAAAGGTCTACTGTTTTTCATTCAGTAAAATATAATTAAAATGTAACATTTTTAGCTAAATCAACAACAGAAGTGAAGCATATTGGTCTCAAATAAAACGAGGTGGTTCCACTCACTCTACTAACATTAAAAACTACCCATTCCCAGTAAAAATAAGACTATGATAAAAATGTCAATCACATCTGGGAATCCATTAAAAAACATATGCTGAAGGGCTTTTGAAATAATCAGGCTATGTTACATTTACAGAATGTAAAATATTTTTTGTAATTACAACATTTTGTTGTTATTCATGCCTTGCGACGGACTGGCAACCTGTCCAGGGGGTACCCCGCCTGTATGCCCGTAGACTGATATACTGAGATAGGCAACAGCCCCCTGCGATCCAGCATGGCCAAGTGGGTACAGATAATGGATGGATGCTGTTTTTCACTAATTTTAAATGCTACTAATACAATTGTTTGAAAGCATAACATATTTTATTTATTCAAGTAAACTAAGAGACAAAAATAGAGAAGGGATTAGGTTTAAAAACATTGTAACAAAAACTGTTTTATATCATGTAAATGAGCTCAATGAGACATGCTAAATGGAAATTTAAATAATGCTGCACAGTTAAATAAGACCCATCAATGTTCCACGGCATAGCCCACCCATTTGATACTTCATACGGTTCTGACTTAATACAAAGAATGATTAATTAATTGAACGTTAATTGAACCAGTTATGCGTTTGTGTGTGAAAGGCTGAACACACAAGTTGATGAGGTACTGATGAAAAGCCTCAACTCATCATACTGATTAAATTAATATTCTTTTTGTATTTTTTGTCTCCTCCTCCATCATTTTTTCCAAAGAAAATCAAACAGGATTAGCATGGGAGAAGAGAAAGATACGCCCGCGTCAGCTGCATGAGCATAATCCCCAGTCGTTATATCCTGCCAAAATACACAATTTTGCATTACTAGTGACTAGAGTGAGGATAGAGACCAAGAACACTAGAAAGATGCAGTGAAAGAGGGAGCTGTCTGGTGAGGTTTTGTGGTGCTTTCATCAGGGGGCTCTTTTTGTCTCTGTCCATGTGTATAGCTTTGTGTCATCGTCTTGGGTGACAACTGTATTGTGTGTTAGCCCAGCTGGTAATCAAGCATGGATGAGAAGATTAAATATCAAGCTTCACCTTTAATATAAACTAAGCTAGTGCATAAAGCAACATCCAAGCACAAAATGGATATCAATGGTCTAGTAAATATCTTTACAGGTGATGCTAAAACACAAATAATGGCACCCAAGACAAGAATGAATATTTGGTTAAACCAAAGATGCTGGAAAGACCTCTTCCTTGAACTTTCAAGAAACCAACGACATTCAGTTGCCTTTATTTGAACCCTTTTGGATTACCATGACCTAGATGACTAAGGACCTTCACCAGCATACTCTTCCTTAAACCACGGTGAGTGCCCTAATGTTCCTATGAGCTTTGTAGTTCTGAGCATTTGGCCGCTGGTAGGGTCTCCTATAGTAAATTGGTCATGGGTAAAGGACAAGACTGAAACTGGAAAAGAGGATTTTTCATGGGGGAATATGTCATGGTTGTGCCTTTTTCTCTGCTGGTTGTGCACCTAAGTGTTTTGCAGATGGGCATGTCGGAGAGTCACAGCTGCAGCTGATTTCCATCAGCAGGACCAGAGGATTTAAGGAGCGATGTTGCCACACTTCAGCGCCGGTTGATACTCTATTGTTGGTACTCTAGCCTCACCACGTTCTGTTCCTGTTTGAGAACTCTGAATAGTGTGTATTCCTGTGCTCATTTAAATCTTCCCTGTCTGCTCCAGTACCAACCCTGGATTCTAACCTCGGTTCCTGTCTGCCTGAAGTGTGCCATACTTTCAACGTCGCTCAGCTCCTCTGGCCTTCCGCTCTCCAACACTCACCTGTCCTGGACCGTACACTTCTACCTGTTACTCCTCTCCACCAGACAATCTCCAGCTCAGACCTGACTTGCCTCCCTCTCCTGCTCAAACCGGAGTTAACCCCCCTGGCCCAGTTTTGATCAGCGCCCTTCGTTCTCGTTAAATTTCTTTACAATAAAACATTTGTATTTTTACTTATCTCTCTCCGTGTGTGATTATTTCATGTGGGTAAAAAGACTTCAACCCAGCATGACAGAAAAACACTAAAGTACCTGGTCTGTAGGGATGCCAGGGTCCTATGCTGGAGTCAGACCCATGATTGGGGCATGGGTACAAGCACCAGGGGGCTTTAATCTATGGAGGCTAGCATGTCCAAGCCCAAACTAGTTATGTGGGCTCTTTCAGCTGTGGACCAACCACCTACAGGAGGAACCTGAAGGGGTTGGTATATACACTGTACATCGGAAAGCATACCAAGCTGAAATCCTTGGAAGTATGATCCCAGATACAAAAACTGGCAAGT